GGCAGGAAGGAAGAGGTGATATGAGCTTTGCTTTTTCACAGACAGCTAGACCTACAGGTTTCATGTGTGTACTCTAGGAATAAAATTGGACTGTTCCTAGCAAAAGAAACAATTCTTGTGACCTAATATACAGCATCCCTGGATCCAGGTTTGGACATTGCAGCCTGGATGAATGAACTACCAGGTCTGTAGAAAAAAAGTAAGCAGTCAAAATCCACACAATGGCAGCTTATTTGAAGAAGTTGATAGTGAAGATATTCCTGTTCTAGTGTGCAGCAATTTTTGAGAAAACATTCTGTGGACTAGGATCCATAACTCTTTTCTCACAAAAAGGAAGTGAAACACCTTCATCGTGCACTTTTGGCCTGTTCGTTTTTGTAATGCAAAAATAGGTGTCCATGTATCACTAAAGTAAGCAAATATCAATCTGATTGTGTCCAGGTAGGATAAAATGGGAATAAAACACGTGTTGTGCTGCTTTGCCATTTATCTATGCAAGATGGAAAGCCAAGTATAATCTCCCTGCTTGAAAGCCCACAGTTGAATTCTAGATCGCAAAGAAAGCTATTTATTATTGGTTTGTTCAACAAAGTTTGCCCTCTGGGGATACCCTTTGTGATTGGGAAAGAAAGAATTTAGTTTGATTTCTTCATTTGGAAAATTTTTTGCTTGAGTAGCAACAAGACTCTTGGGTCACTAAGCAATAGTGTTCTGTTCTAATTGTCTTCAACATATTTATGTTTCTAAGTCAGGCTGTTAGTAGTTTTTTCCAAATTATGCAAAGTTGATATCCTGCTGCCCTACAAAGCAGAATCATTTATAGAATGTTTCTATGTAGAAATTGCTTTCAAACATTTTGCTTCATATAGAAACCTTAAGGTTTTTCTTTGAAAAGGATGAATTGACACCAAGAAACACTGATTTTTCCCCCCCAATCTTATCTGTCTCCCCTCCACACAAATGTATTTGCTCTCTTTTTACATTTACTAAGAATATAGTCAAGTGGCAATTTGAGAAAATATTGACTCAATCTCCCAACTCTGCCTACACCCTAGACAAAAATAAATGTGTAACTAGAATGTGATATATAATACATCCAGTCCAGACAGCAGAAACATATCTAGGTTTCTCCAAATCTGTGAGAAGGAGTAGAAGAAAGAAACCCACGTGACTGTGTGGCTGAGTACATGATGCTCATTTAGGCAAAAGCACGTTGGGTGGTATTATCATCTCCTGGTATTCTGAGTGGTGCAGTTTCTGTTGGGAGATTTATCAGTGCACAGGTCCTGCATCAGAGGGGTCCCTCAGCACCACACAACAAGACTGGCACTGCCTCCTAAACAATTCTACTTCTAAATAGGAAGTTGTCTAGGAGGAGGAAGAGAGCAACATATTTTACTCACATATAATTTCAACTTTTTTTTTTTTAACTATCCTGTTTTAACTTCACTGCCTTTATGTTGTAATAGACTTTTTTCCAGGTACTTCCTAGCTCTGGGTGTGTTTTGAACTGCCCTCCTGTATGACACCAAGTGTACTGTTCTCCCACTCTTATCTTCACACTTTCTTATATGCTGTTTCTTATGCTTAGAAATCCTTATTCTCCATTCTAAATATCCTCCCACTCTATATTCACATTCTTCGTTTAAATTGCATTTCCTTAAAGTCTATAAAAAATAATCTGCAAGTTAAGAAATATAGCAACTATGCCTTGAAATCTGTCTTCTGATCATCAGATTTGCTCCTGTTGGCTGAATTCTTTAACTTATGCATTAATACTGAATAAACCAGAGATTCATTCTTCCTTAATATCACATGTACCATCTTTTTCACTACATATATATATAAAATTTTATTTTAAAGTATGCCAAAGTTCACACTAACTGGTTTCCTAGAGGTCACCTGCCTGAGCAGTGCTTTTTGTTGTCTTCTTGCTTTTCCGGCTGAAAGCTCACTGATGGGAAAAAAAAAAAAATTAGGTCAGTAAGATATCATTCTTATAAGAGAGCTGAGTCCAGTATTTTAGGTGCAGTCTTTACCAGATAAAATTACCATTTTGGAGTTCTGTCTCAAGGATATTTGTTCAAAGTAACGCCCCAGAATGAATAAAAACTACAAGTGAACAAAAAAATAGGTTTTCCTGAACTTGTATGCAATTCTTAAAACCATTTGTTTTCACAGAGAGGTTGTGCTGCTTATAACCTCATTTCTGTGTATTCTTTTTTTTTTTTTTGCTAGATAAAAGAACCTTGAAAATAAAAAAAAAAACTGCATCCAAACCAGAGTAATTTATAAAAGTTTGATTCATGCGACATTGACTCCTACTTGCCCCTAAAAAAAAAAAAAATTGGAATTGGGAAATTTTCAGGCTGTCTAAACTAGGCTTTCCTTAAAAGAAATACCTTTTTTTGAAAATCTGGGTCTACTAGTTTAAAAAGCTAGTGAAATACTGCTCCTCATTGTTTCTAAAATACGTACATTCTTCATCTGTTTGCTGATTGTCTGCAGCATAACATTCAGCCTAAAATTCTTGCAAGACAGAAAAAGTTGTTATAAGCCACTCCTTTAGATGCTTTGCTGCAAGAGAAATAAATCTAAACACTGACTGCTAACAAAACAAACTGTAAAAACATTGCTAAAACAAATGAAGCTGACATTTTACAGGATGAAAAGTGCTATTTTTGAACACAGTTATGATCTTTTAGTAAGTCTTAAATTTCCATTTAGCTATGTTAAAATATTGTCTGTGAGTGAAATTGGTCCAATTGCTTTTTCTCTTACTGTATCAAGGAAAAGCTAAAGCTGGGACCACAATGGATCCTCTGGGAGTGAAGTGCAGAACTCCCAGAATAAGTTTCACTAAACTCTTTTGGAATTAGTTTTAGATTTCCTTAAACTGTGATGTAAATTTTTGATCATAACCAAACCAAATGCCTTGTTGTAGGGGTTGGCCTTATTGATAATGGAACAGCATCACCTTTCACCCCCGAACTTTTTGGTTTTCAGTCTCAACAATGTCATAACTACCCATTCATGGAGATATTCTCCCAGGATGCATGTCAGGCTGGACATGCATCAAAACATTTCACTTTCTGCCTGACCTAACTTTTCCTTTCTCTCATTCAAGCAGCTTATTGAAAACCATCCAGTTTTATGTGTTCCTGAACTATGAGGAAAACAGGAAGCAGAAAAGGAGATTCTTTCCTGTCATACTGCTCTGTAAATCAAGTCCTACATGTGTAGCTCGTAGTTTCAGGGAAGTCTGTAACCATTGAGTTTGAGGGGAGTTTTTTAGAAATTGTGTTTTCCTTCAGCTTTCTCTAATTTCTTCCTTTAAAATATTTTTTGTGATAGAATTATTTACATTTAACCCTTGTCTCTGAGGCTGCAACCTGGAAGTGTTCTGATTGTTAGAAAGTATTATTGAATTCACTCAGGAATCTCAATAGTCAGGAATTAATCCCTGAATAAGAACAGATCTTTTGGATTCACACAGTGGTTGCACATACACTGCATGCCTCAGTGGAATTGTTCTGTATCCTAAAAACAGAAACACCACTTTGTGTTCCAGGTTTTACCTTGAGCAATTGTGTGGATGTTGGTGTGGGTGGAACTCACTCATTAAGGTTATCACAGAGGTGTCTTATTTTTGTCCTGGAACTATGACTCTGTTGTTTCGTAAATTGGCTGAAGCAGGATCTTAATATCTTGCAAATTTAAGTATTTACCATGAAAACCACTCTTTAGTCATAAAAATGAGATGCAATAGGAAACTATTAGTCAATTTTTTTCCTGTGTTGCAGACAATAAAGAAAATGTCTTCCAATTTCCATGTAGGACCTTTTGTCACAAAGGGCAAGAATGTACATGAGTCAGCTTCAGTTGGGATTCTTTTTCCTTTTCTCAGTGAATGTTCCTATTTTACAAAGTTCTTGGAGTCCTAATGCAAAATTTCAAAGTGTTTCTATTAAGATATTCTGCATCTGTTTTTAGGGGGTTTGTGGTTTTTTTTTAAATTGTGTTGTGATTTGGGGTTTTTAAAGTTTTAGGGGGATAGTTAATATATGCCAACAAACTGTGTACCTTAATCTATATTAATGCTTTGTCTTTGAAAACATGTTTCTGGTACAAACATAAGAAAAATGCCCTGTTTTGCTCAGACTTTGTTTGAAGGAAGTTTACTGGGTCTTGAGTACTTCAAAGCTGAAAAACCTAATTCAAAATGTTATGTGAATTCTATATATTTTTACAGCTATACAAAATGGAGTGGAAAAAGTTACCTTTTTAGTTTGGTAACTTTTTACAACCACTGTACAGGACAACAAAGAAAAAAGTTGCAAAAAGTCACTCAGAATTCAGCTGCTGCATCGTGAGCAAGCAGCTCCTGTTATTGACAAATGAGGCTTGACCACAGGCAGCATGAGGTCAAGAAATATTAATAAAATGCTTTCTTAACTGGTTATTTCTGCCCTTTGTGTTCCCTTTCTGACACATGGCAGATGATTTGGGGTCAGGTGCCCAGCTATCAGTGGGGATGGAGTGAAGCACCTTTCTCTGATCCTTTGCTGCCACAGATTCAGCTGTGACTCAGCCAGGGGAAGTTAACTGATTATACTTAACTTTCTCTACTATGGTAAAATAAGTTGCAGAGAGAACACACTGAAAGCCAAGGGCCTCTAAATACTTTTCCCTTTTATGGAATAGAGCTCCCAGAGCTCTCCATTTCCTGGAGATTGTACTCTAAGCCTACACAGTGGTAAAAGAAAGTTCTCTGCATTCACTGATCTGTATCTGACTACAAATTTGAGCTCAGGGTATAATTTTTTTCCTAACTATTTTAAGAAGTAAGTTTATAATAACAGACCAAAATGTTAAAAGCACTCCATCCTCTCTGTTATTTCTTTTTCTTATTTTTTTCCTTTAGATTGTCTCCTCTTAGTGTGGGAATGAGCAGAATTTGGTGACTTGGATAGGTAACTTGTGTTTAACTCATTTTGTAGGTGCACAAGGCTCGTGCATACTGAAATTGTAGACCTTCACCCACATCCACTCTGCCTGTGACATGTGAGTTATCTGTACAAGTATTTAATTTTAAAAGGTAATTTTGAAGCTTTTGTCATTTCTGAAAGAATGGAGTTTTTGGGGGAGATCATTTACTTTGATAAAACACTAGAATAATCTAATTACATCCTTTGATAAGATAGAGGCAGGCCAGAGAGAGCTTGACCAATGGAGAAAAAAAAGAAAAATAGAAATAAGAGGATCTTGAAATCATCTCAGTGCCTAGGATGCTAGTATGTGTTCGTGCACCTTAACTGTTTTTAAAGTGCAGGTGCATTTTTAATATCTCTTTTCAGTGTCTTCAGGGCCAATAATTACACGTGTTTCAGTTGGTCCCTCACTGAATTGCACATATTATTAACATAATTTTCTTCTTTGATTGAAGCATGTTTATCCTTGTGGAAAGGAGACGAAGCTGGCAGAGCTAATGGTAGCATGATTCCAAATGCTGTTCAGCAGGCAGGTGAACCAGGCTTAGAAGCAGGCTAGTCAAGCTCTGCACATTCTAGCTCAGGCTGTCAGCTAGATTTGTAAATAGAGGTGTGAATTTCTGTAAGCTCCAAGACTGCACTCTGCTCTAATGCTCTGCTGAAAAAGAAAAAATGTACCTTCCAGTGACATAAATTTTCCAAGGACATTTCTTTATGCTCTATCTACATTTCTGAGATGCAGATAAGCTTCTCTAATTCTTGTAGAGTGTTCTCACAAAGCCCCTTGTTTCTATGTATTTTGACTCCATGTGACACTCAGTGGGGCTGTTTTCATAAGGTAATTTCAGCAGTGATGGAAGAACATTTATTCACTAATAGTTAGGTTTTCATATTTTCTAACCCTCTGCCTTTCCTACCAGTATAGAAGACAGTAACTGATCAGAAAATGGCAGAACTCATTGCAGAGCATGGTGTATCCACTTGCATTTACAGTATATGATGTTTGTGCTGGTTAACATCATAGTCTTTAAAAAATATGGGCTACTGACTTTAAGAACACTGCACGGGTTAAAATTAAGCTTTCAGACTGAAAGTTAATAATTTTAGAGTTCTCAATCGTATAGTTTATTAATTGAACTACATGCTTATACTGAAATACCAAAATGCAGTCCCCCTCACTTTGGCAGTGTAGTGGACTGCAGCAATGCAGTTAAGGTGTGCAGAGATGGTGTTTGATTTGAGAAGCCTAGGAATATGAATAATTATGTGTAAGCTTTCACTGCTCCAATATAGTCCTCAGCACTGGGGTTTTCTGGAGTGGTACTAGGAAAAAATGGAAAGTCAGAAGGAGAAATTTTCCTACTGATCGGCACAGAGATTTGAAGCTTATTCCTGTTTGCGAGATATCTCTGTAAGGAAATCAGAGTAGGGCTCTAATTGTGTTAGAGACAGCCTGAACTCAGTCCACTCCAAATCTGGGGGTTGTTAAGGTGGCATAAATTCATCTTTCTACCCTCCTTTTTCCCTTGGCTGTACTTTCTGTGCTGCATCTCTAGGACAACACAGCTCGGGATTTGTCCCTTTCTATTCTTAGACAAGCCTGCTGATTTATTTCTTTTTCTTTCAAAGTTTTTTTTTCTTTTTAGATCTGAAAAATGAACTGAAACTTGATGTGCTTAATAGCTCTTTCTTGCTTCAAGATAAGCTACATTACTTTTTAAAGTTTAGTATGTGCTAAGAACTCAGCTAAGACTGAGAATAAACCACTTTGCAATAGCTTCTACAATTCCATGTAGGACTGCAAACATGCTTTGGCCATGACTTGAAACATTCCTGATTTTTCAGGCCCAGCATTGGGTTGAGTGTATCAGAACCATAATAAATTCATAAGGCAAACACTAAGAGGGATTAGACAAATAGCCAGATTTTTTTTTTCTCTTTTTTTTTTTTTCCAGTTTGAATTTGGGTTCTTACAAACTCAGAAATTGTGTAAAATGCCAGGATTTTGTTACAGAGATGAAAAGCAAGTCTGTGTCAATTTTTTTAGCTACCGTGTTTCCATCTCAGCTTCTTGTGTTGCTAATAGTTGGTGACTGGGTTTGATACAAAAAAACTTAATTATTGAAACACTCAGGCATTCAGTATCTGTCTAATCTGTGGATTTATTAAAATATACATAATCATAAATATGTCTTTTCCACCCTAATAGGGACTTTAATTGTTTTGCCTTAATAGCCATTTAAAAAGATTTAATTCATAGAAAATTTTCTCTACTACTCTTTGAAGTCAGAGGTGGGTAAAATCGTGATACAAGCATGAACTACCACTTACTTTTGTAAAGTTAGAAAATCACCTGAAACAGGCACAAAAATGTCTATAAAAGCTTGAAACATGCAGTCCCTACAGCATGCACTGCTCCGAAAAATCCTTATGCCCACTGTTCAAAAAGAGTTTGTATCTTGGTCTTCATAATGATGTCACATTTTTCAGAGCTGTTATTGAGGAACTGAAATGATATAATTATTTTTTCCTGAACACACCAATACTTGTGTAGGATCATTTTTACAATCTATTCATTCTGCACTATCATGTGAGAGGGCCTTGTATTCCTCGTCTAGTGAAAGAGAAAATTAAGTTTCCAACATAATGTGAAATGAACATAATAAAAGCAGGGGTCTTAGCTGCTTCTGTAGTCTAGAGTTTTCACACATTCTGTAGGTTTTACAACACAGATTTTCTTCTGTGAGAGCTGAGGTGAGGCACTTGTCACTACTGAGACTGTGTCAGTGTTTCTTGTGAATGGTTTTGCCTCTTTTTGCTTTTATTTTAAAGCAACAGATGTATTTTGACAAATGTAATTGGCAACCTCAAAAAACCAACATGTTCCTGAATACATTTCTTTGCCCACCCCTGAAATGGAAGGGAAAAGTGTAGCAGGTTAATGTCCAGTGCAGTAGTGAGGAGTTCCCAGTGGAGACACAGTGTGTGCACCAGGTGGCCTCAGCTGCGTGTGTGTGACCTGCAGGCACCGCCGGGGAGCGCAGTGATGCATTCGTGAGGACACTGATGAGGACAGCTCCCTGATTCCTGGGCAGGTGCCACAGTAAGTATTGCAACCACCCCCTGCCACTCTAAGGACTGATTTGTGCTTTGCACTGCTGATCCTCAGACTTTGGTACAGGCTTTCATGCTGATGTTACCCTTGTGAATGCATTGCCTCCCCTTGATACTAATAATGAGAGTTTTCTCAGCTAATAGGTAGTTTGTGGGTTTTTTTCCTTCTTTGGGCATTTCTGCTGTTTTGCTTTGGAAGTGTCTTGCACCTTGTTGTCTTGTGCAGAGGTACACCAAGTCTTTTCACAATTCACCTTGCTCAAAGGAGAAGTGCCACCCTCTAGGGTTCAAGTTTTGGTCCTCTGAGATCATGCTCTGTAGCATGAAGGCTATTAGTCACTAAAAGGCATATTATGGAATAGATGACTGAGAAGGGACCCTGGCAATATCTGTCAGTATCTGAAGGCAGGTGTCAGAGGATGGATCCAGACTCTCCTCGGTGGTGTTTAGCAACAGGACAAGAGGCAAGGGCAGAAATTGATGCACAGGAAGGTCCATGTGAGGAAAAACTTCTTCACTGTGCATGTGATTGTGCACTGGAAAAGATTGTCCAGAGAACCTGTGGAGTCTCCCTCACTGGAGAACTTTCAAGAACTTTCTGGATGCAGTTCTGTTCCCTGAGGTCTGGGATGACCCAGCTTGAACAGGGAGGTTGGACAAGATGACCCCTGTGGTCCCTTCCAACCTGAACTATTCTGCTGTTCTGTGATATCCAGGATATGATAACAGGATGCTGTTTACTTCTTAGAAGATATTTAGAAAAGGCAGTTTGGTCACATCATAGTGACAAATGAAAATTGTAAAATGGAGGAAAGAGATGGAAATAGCAACAAGAACAGAAGGTTGTCTGTTTTGAATGCGTTTGCTAAGTTATACTTGACCTTGAAAGCTTGAGTTAATAAAACACAAGATAGCATTTTTAATTTAAACCTTAATACTGTTTATTATTGTAAAGTGATCTCAGTTTTTGAGCATAGAGTTTTAAATGGATTTGATTTGTATTTTTGGCATCTAACCCAGCCTGCAGATCACGAGGCCTCCCAGAGCTTATGCCTTCAGGCTAACTTGAAACAGATACTGCCAGCAGTGCATGATCCTCTTAGTCAACCTTGCAGCTCCACGTGCTTCACGCTGCCCACCATGCCAACCTTACCTGAAGACAAGGGACAAGCAAAAGAGGCCCAGCACAACAGCTCTCCTCCAGCCAAAGTAAGCTCTCTTACTTACAAAGGTGTTTTCTGACACTTGCTGGAAACCTGAGGCTGAAACGTGTTTGTGTTTATTTAGGGGCTTATAAAATCAAATCTATTTGTTGCTCTGTATTAGGGTGTTTTGCTCAATTGATGAAGCTATGAATGGTCCTTCAGTTGAAATCCTTTGAGTTCCTCAAATATTTTATAGCCTAAGGGATGAGAACTTAAATTGCTCAAGCAGTTGTTTATCATTTTGAACTGGAGGCTTATAAATGGTTCAGAACAGACAGACATATATCAAAGCTGTCCAAAAATGTCCTTTCTGATGTTATGAAATAAAACTTTAAACTTTGAGAACAGAACTTAGGCTTGCACTTCAACAACTAGTGTTGTTTTTACAGATATAGAAGATGTTATGCAACTTGTGTGTGTGAAAGATGGACATGGGCATTTTTGGTTTGCAGTCTTGCTCAGTGCTTTATTTGCCACAGCAGAAGATGAACATACACTGGAGCTATACAGAGGCAGATGGATGTTCCTCAGGCATTTCATCAGTTTGCTTCAGATTTGCATGGAATCTACATGTTTTTACATGTTTTCATTCCAGATAAACACTTAAAAATCAATAACAGATGGATCTTCCCCATTTTCATTAATCTATACCACAGATAAAAAGTAGCTTCATACTTTAATAAACTGGGGTTGGATTTTTTTGTCAGTTGTTAGCTTAGCTGAAGAAAGAACCATTACTGTGATTAAGAAATCACAGGTTATCCACATAGTTAGTTTTTATGCAAACTGGTGTAAAGAAAGAGGATTTATAGTCTGGCACATCCTCAGTTAAAGATGTGACACTGTCATTAGGTTTGGGGACACTACATTCCAGACTTTAGGTGAAAACATCCGCTACTTTAACATTGTTGGAAAATATTGCCAGCAGTGAGCTCTGCACTGATTTGTCCTGCCTTCCATCTAAACTGCACATGGTGCTGAGTGTTAGTTTCCTGCCTTAAGATAAACACCCCAGCAGTTGGATACAAGTTCATCAAGACTACCATCTGATAGCATCTATTAGCTGAAGATGATTTTATTGGGGTTTTTTAACTCGCCTATGTGAAAAGTATTTTAGTACAAAGGACTTGCTGTATAAAACATATCCGGAGATGAAAAATATGAAAATTTAGCAGACATCAGTGATTCTAATCCTGAATTTGCTTGTCAAGTGGGAGAAATGAAAATTTCCAGTCTCCTAATATAAAAGCATTAAATTTTTAATACATTTTCCAGGCCTTTTAGATGTAGGTCTTAAATGAACTGTGGTAATGTGATAGTTCATGAATCAGGTCACTGTGCAAAATGCTTCATTTTAGATAAGTGATTATTTTTATGCCCAAAATCACAGTGGAGTGATTTTAACCAACACACTGCTCATAAGCCTGCTTAAGGTTTGCCACTAGCCAGTGTTGTGAAAACTTGATCTTGTTCATAGCTCTTGTCACTCTAGGCTTTTGCTGCAGGTCAAGCTCTACAGCATGACTGTAAGTCACTCTAAGTATAACAGCTTATTGTGAGATAAGGACTTGCAAGCAAGGAGAGGGCATCCAAAGGAGCTAAAAGCTGGTGATTTTGTTTTCTGCCACTCAACAGAATTTTCCAAGTCTGGAATTTCATCTCATCTAGAGTGCTGTCTGGTGTCTAACTTCCTTGTTCTGTTTCAGGAGGCTTTCCCCCACCTTTTTCCTACATGCCCAAATGCACAGAGATTGCAAAACAGTTCTGACAAAAAGAAAATGAACCTTATATCACATGTAGCTTTCTGCATGCTTCAAGTGTGATCATGCTTTTACATAATGGGAAGACCTGGGTTCTGTGTCTCAAAATCATTTTGAGAGAACAAATGTGGGTTTTCATTTCAGTATTTCTTACAGCAGCCTGGGTTTTTCTGAAGTTCAATCCAGACTTTTAATTCTTTTAATTAATATCTAAGAATATGGCCAGGTGGCAGAGGATTTTCTGTTTCCTGTTGTTGTTTTTTTTGTTTGTTTGTTTGTTTTTGTTTGTTTGGTTTTTTGTTGCAGTTGGGTGTTGGTTTTTTTTGTGGTTTTTTTTTGGTTTTTTTTTTTTTTGTTATTCTGGATTTTTTTCCCCAGTGCTTTAAAGAATTTAGTTGTTATACAGTGAAGCTCTGTCATCTGACTGCCTGGCATGGTAGGTCTTTCAGCAGAGTATCGTTGTATTTCTTCTCCCCTCACCATCCCGTTAACGTAAAAATAATCTCAATTTTTCTGGATTAGAGACATTTCAAAAGCACATTCTCTGTATGCTTAGTGAGGGCCTGGTAGAACTTAACAGCCAGAATGTCTGGAGGTTCTGCTTCCATCCCTGATGCTCTTGGCTGTTCTGTTATGAACCAAACTGCCTGTGCCACCCTCTCAGCCCTGCACACGCTTCCCTGCCAGTCTGGATGGCTCCTGATCACCCTTAGGGAGCAGTTCCCACCTGAGCCACCTGAGAGGTGGAGTCAGTTTTACCCTAATTTTTGTGGAGGGGAGGACTTGGGACAAAAAGGAAGCAAAGACTTGCGTAGCAGGGAGCTACTGGTAGTAGATGAGGCAACTGTTGGGAATAGCTGAGGAGCAGATGGGTCTGGAAGCTCCCAATGGAGCAGAGTTAAAGGCACACAAGGTGATGGAAATCTTCTGTGACATCTCTGTGCAGTTGTACAACACTGCAGTGTTGTGAGGCAGCTAAAGCTTCCTGTTAAAGCTTCTCTTCCAAGGCCTGTATAGAGCAGCCTGAGCACTCCTCAGTGTATAACAATTCCTTTTGATTGGAGCCAGCTGGCCCTGCAAAGAGCTTCCTGCTCTGGCTCTTCCTGCCCCTCTCCTGGACAGTGCAGGAGGCCATGAGGTTTCACTTGTGTAGAAGCTGAACTCCTATAGCTGCTGACCAGAATTAATGTTTTCTACCTGACCTGAACTAGCCTTGACTGCAAACTCTTTTTTTTTTGTCTTTTCTTCTTTTTTTTTCTTTTTCTTTTTTTTTTCTTTTTAATGAGCTGCTTTTAGAGTCCTAAAATGGGCTTGAGTGACTTCAAGGCTGATGTTACATCATTCAGAAGTTTTTGTTTTCTGGCAGTCAGTCATGAGATTATTATAAACACTGTGCATGTGTATCCAGCTGATTTGCCCTGCAAGCAGGGGAGTCAACTGAGTTTTGTCATTGACAAAAATATATTGTCACTTTTAATATTTTCAAGAATATTACTAAAAATTGATTTCAAGCTATTGTCATAAAATGTCACTTGTGCATTGAATCACATATGCTTTGGGATTCTAACATTTTCAGAATTGCAAGGATATTTTTCCTAAATTTAAATCTTCACAGTGTTTTCTTGGCAGGTTCCCCATCCTGCTCTCCTGTGACTGACAAAGTGAACTTGCTAAGGAAGTTCATATGAGATTTGAGAGTATGGAAGTGCGAAGCTGCTTGAAACAAATTTTAGTAAAAAATTTATGCTATTTACAGTAGAATCAAGAATCCTAACTCAGATGTCCAAATCAAGGCATATTTCATTGCCTTTGAGAGGTAGAAGGGTTATTCTATGTCTTTTAATATTATGCCATTTCCCAAGTATTCTAGAGTCCTTTTAGTTGTTCAGAAAATGTGTTATTTCAACAAGAATAAAATGCAGCACTGGGAGAGATGTTGCAAGGAGTTCTATGGTAAATTACAGACATTAGCAGTCAAGTAAAAACCAGCTTCTTTATGGAATAGTAGAGAATGCTTTAGGATAGAAGGGACCTTTAAGGTCATCCAGCTCCAACTGCCCTGTTATGGACAGGGACACCTTCCACTAGACCAGGTAGCTCAGAGCCCCACCCAACCCGGCCTGGAACACTTCCAGAGTCTAAACCTGACTTGCTAAACTGTGACTTTATTACATGCTTCATTCTGTTAATGCCTGAATTAGTGCTATTGCAACAGATTTTTCTTACCTGTATAACAAATTTCTTGTGAAAGCTTTGGGCTGTAGTTTCAAGAAAATTGTAGACTCCAAATAACAAACTAAACCAAAACTCTTATATATATATATATATATATATATATATCAGTGCTTAGCAGAAGCAATTAGGATCTGAGGATTTACAAGTTATTCTTTAAATTTTACAAGTCACTTTACAGCAGTCCACTGCCACTGCTGGGAAAGTTTCCCTTCAGCTGTTTTCTGGTTTTAATCTGAATACAGTGTTTGGGGTAGAAGTAATCATTTTCTTACCACATATGAGGCATCCACATTAATTTATGCCAGCCTGATGCACCTCCACTTGTGATATCTCACAGGAAATGGATTCCTTTTTTTCAGCTGAGTGGTATAATTATGCAGGTGTGAGATTAAGTTCTTGAGGCAAGGTCTCATTTTTAAGCAGGCAAGCACATATTAATATTCAGTACCAGCTTGCCAGTTTCTTTTAGCACTTAAAAATTATATTTTATTTTAGGAAATATTTGAATTATATTTTTTTACAATATGTTTCCAAGTAATTTGAGGGAAAACCATGTGGAGCTCTTAACAAGATAACTTTAAATTATTTTCTGGGGTTTTGGGTATCATGTGTACACTTAATACTGTGTTTATTCAAGCTTTCATTATACATTACTATCATTTGGAAGGTTTGTGTGCTTAATTTAGCCCTCTTATACGGAGCTGCTTTTCACTCTTGCATTCAGCTCATAAACTCACCAAACTCTTGGACATGTACTTCACTCAAGGAATGGTTTGCTGTGTGTAAAACCAGACTGTCTGCCTTTTTAAAGCTTTCTCCTTAGCTCCATGCTGATTGAATTTAGCTTGCATGCATTAAAAGTTCTTAAAGAAAACAGATATTTCAGGTCTCCATTGTGTCTTTTGAGTAATTAAAGTATAGGCCTCTAATTCATGTTTCTTTTGTCAAATTACAGCTAATTATATCTTATTACAATTACTTTTTCTTTTTTAGGTAAATTGAGAAATACACATTGTTTTCCACACAGACAGTCAATGTTCAGTGGTTTGAATTTCTGCTTAACTACATTTTTATATTTTTCACACATCATTCAGGAAACAACTTTTGAAGGGACAACATGCAGCACACCTTCTATTGTTCTTCCAGAGAATGCTGTCACGCCAGATGTAGAAATTGATAAAAATCTGGTTAACAGGTACTGTATAATACATTACCAATCCATCCATAAATGTCAGGGACTGTGTTTCTGAAAATTGCTTTGAAATGGATGTTGTATGAAAATATTAATGCTGCATCTCTGTGATTTGGTCATAGTGCCTTTGCATTTTGAGAATGGTATTTGGAACAGGAATATAATCGAGACTAAAAGAGCAGAGTTACACAGAATACTGAGCCTGGCAACCCCACTCACTGAGCTGCGCAACTTAAATATCTACTTTGAGCACTGTAATACAATGGGGTTTGAAGCAGTTTTTGGTTCACATAGGTGGGACAAGAATACCACCTTGAGGTTAAGCATAAGTGAAAGTAAGTCATTGACTAGAAACAGTAATCCTGTTTGAAGTTGAAAACTTCAATGCAGTTTTGAGTTGAATTAGGGTTATCATACTTACTGTGATAAATTACATGTGCTTCCTGACCTGGGCTCTTTAATTTTAATCACCTGCCACTAAACTTAAAATATGGGGAAAAAGCATATCAGAAAATATATTTCATAAATCTATAATTTGTTTGTATTTTTAAAATTGTGCTTCTCCAAACCTCAAGATTAGTTTAGAGCCAGAATTTATATACAGCCATTCAAAAGCAGAATTATTTGTGGGATTGGTATTTATATTTCTGCTGTTGTTTGAGACTTAACTGGTTTGCAGTTTAGAAAGATACTATGGGAGTGTCAATGTGGGAGCCTAAGGAATTATTTAGCTATAAAATTTACTTTCTGAATTTTTATTGCTTCTTAAAGACTAAGTTTTTTGGGGTTTTTTTTGTTGGTGGTTGTTTTTTTGGTGTTTTTTAGTGTTGTTGGTTGGTTTTTGGGTTTTTTATTATATGCCATTCTTACATGATTTTTAAGTCATGGTAATAATCAAATGAAATGTAGGGGTTTTTTCCTGAGAAATCAGGTTCACAGTGAATGAGATGAATAGAACTTTGTCATATCAGTTTCTCCAATTTTCCTTGTTTCTGCAATCTCCTCCATTTTCCAGTTGTTTGGAGGTGAGAGGAACTACAAGAAATGCTTTTTGTCTTTGTTTTTAAATCAAAGAGCTTTCTTTTTAATATTAATTTTAATAGATAATCAGGACCTCTTTTTGATGCTATGCTCCCATAATTTTTTTCTTGTTCACTTTTCTCTCTAGGCCTCGGAGTCCTCATAGGAGACATTCTAACCGTGCCACCAGGAATTCAACAAGTTCACTGACTTCTGTTGGTAAGAAGTGATTATTCATTTCAACTAGGATGTATTCTCAGAAAATGTGACATGCAATGAAAACTTGTATAGAGAGTCTGACTGTGTAGACCATAATTTTTTTCTCTGTGTATGCTGTGTAATGCACGCACAGGGAATGCTGGTGGGATGTTGAATTGTGATCATGAGTTTGTAAGTGGACTGCATGCAGACCAATTAAAGGAAATACACACATTCTTACTTTCAGAAAGTTGTTAATTGGTGCATTAGCTTAACATCTTTAGAGGGCTCAACATATACATGCTTTATTTCTTGTAGAATACAAAATACTGGTTTTGCTACACTTGAGCTTCTCTTTTGTTGGCACAGGGAAAGTGTCATGAGAAGTCTGTCTCTCAAACTTCCAATACATAAATCTGAGTTTAAACCAAAACAGATATTTCACTGAAAATAGATTGCTTTAGAATACTCAATCTGTAAGTATGGTTTTTGACATCCTTGAAATTGAACTAAATTTGAGGACATTACAGCCAAAGGACTTCTCCCTCCCCCTGAAAAAAATCAATCAAAAACCAATAGTGAAACAACTCCACACCCACAAGCAAAAAACTCTTGAGTTTTTGCTGCTTGCTTACATCCTTAGCTTTTCTGAAAACTGATGGTTCTATAATGGCTCTTGTCAATTTTTAAAATATTTTTCTTATGTTACCTGATGACTTTCCTCCCCCACATCCAAGCTGTTCTTTAGATGTTCATAAAAGCTATTTATACTGACTCACACAGAAAGGGCCTTTCTGACAACTGCCTGCCTTCTTTGCTGCATCATAGGCTGGAGAATTGTAAAAATTGGTGCTCAAATTCTAGTGTTTTCAACCAATTTAAATGCCACAGATTAATGGCGTGTTAAATTAATTGTTAAAACTATTGTGCATAAATATTTGCTGGGTAAGTTTGTGGGTTCTTAGCCTTGAAAAACTGAACATGAAAGTTCCATGAAGCTCAGTCTACAACAGAAATGCCATTACTGTTAGTTGAGGTGAATTTAATGACACTTTTATTTAGAAATGAGAAACTGCATTGGAGACACAGCTAGGAAAGCCAGTTTCACATATTCAGAGAATTTTTAATCACAGTGAATTAATCTTAATGGGTTACCTGTGGTTTTGAGGGCTTGCTCTAAGCTTGAGATTGTAAAAATGTAAGAAATGAGCAGACATTTTTTTTTGTTACATGCAAGCTCAAATCTAAATTTATAGCTGTAAATTTACAGGCTTGTTTTGAACTTGTTGCTCTCACATGCCACAATATAACTGGAAATGGAAGGTCCAGCTCTAATTCTGACATTTTCTACACAGACAATAGTGGTCATGTGATTGATCTGGTGAATGATCCACTACCAGATGTCAAAATATCAGAGGAAGACAAAAAGAAGAACCTTGAATTGTTAGAAGAAGCAAAGAAAGTGAGTGAGAGGTTCCTAACACGCAGAGGCAGAAAGTCAAGAAGCAGCCTCTCAGAGTCACCCACAGGTAGGGGCAGATCGTGAAAACCAGATTTTATATTCTCCTTCAAACATCTCTAAAGGCAAACATCTCCTATAATCTATACCTTGCTGCTGTTGCCATACACTTGGTTAATTTGAAAGTCAGAATCCCTCATGTTCTCCGCAAGGTTCCACTTCACACAGAAAATGACCTGTCCATGTACCCAGATGTGTCAAGGTAAAATGGTGTAAAGTTATACTGCAAACAGTGTAACAAGAAAGCATTAAGTATTTCTATTAAAAAGTGAAAAATGCTCACAAATTGTTGTTTGAATTAAATTCTAGTGGCTAGAATTCATTCTGCTGAAAAAACATTCCCTCCAGACACAATTACACTGCCTCTTACTCTGAACATAGCCATAAACTGAGCTAAATGGACCAGATACTCCTTTAAAAACAGCAGAATAAAATGTTCTGTTCTAGAATGTCAATTGAAATTATTTTTCCTTTTACACGAAGTGTTTGAAAACTGGAACAAAATGCCATTTTACCATGAAATAGGACTTTCATTTTGCTTTGAAATGTCAGTTCAAACAAAGTTCTGTCTTACAATTGGCCTGGCACTCTCTGGAGGGAAAAAACCCTCCACAACTATACATCACTTCTTCTCTTTACTAAATTCCTCATTAATCTTCTCTTGTGCTGCGTCTCCTCAGTGCTTCTAGTACCAGAAAAATGAGGAGAACAAGGATTTCCTGTATCAATAGAAATTTATCCATTTTTGATAAGTATAAAACATGAAACTTACTCTAAACTCCAAATTGCCAAGTACAACCTGACAATTAAAAGGACTTGTCAGGTTCTGGACAAACACATGACTGTCTATGATATTGATGTTTTAATCTCATCTGAATTCTAAAAACACAGAAGGTTCAAGCCTATAAAGTAAAATCACCTTTTCGTTTTGTTTTTTGTCTGTGTTCTAATGAAGCGGTTTCCCCTACTCTTAGTCTAAAATTTTCACCTATAGCATCTCAGAGCAACTCTCTCACTCCTCCACTTCCATCAGGTAAAATGATCATGAATCATTAAGGGAGAAAAAGACCTCTAAGATTATCAAATCCAATCATTTGCAGGCTCAAACTCAAGCTCACCAAAAAAGTATTTGTTTAGTATTTCTTGAGAAGAGTAGATTTAAGCATCTAGTCCTGAACATAAGCTCCTTAATGCATACAAAATATATTTTTTGCATATAGATATTTTTATAATAGTTTTATTCCTGTGATCTTGCAAGCTCACATGTTCTATTTTTTAAATTTTTTGAATAACAGAGTTTTGAGAAGATTTAATGATCTTTCACTTGATATGTGTTTGATTTTTTTTTTAATAGTATTTTTGACATTTGAATTTTTGTCCTTCATGTATTATGGGAAACTGTGCACATATGTGTTTGTTAATGTTATAGCAGTAAAAGTTTTGAGCAAAATATCAGGATATGCCCTAATTATGTGTGTATCTTTCAGGGTTGGATGCATGCACAACCACTAGTATTGAGTCAGTATCTCCAGGGCAGGTAAGGGCTGAATAGTCTGTGCAATAAGACTGGTTATTACCACACTATATTATAATATGCTGCATTTTAGTACCTGATAAAAATTGTGTGTTTAGAACATCATTTTATAGACCAAAATTGGATTACTGGTATTTTCTCTGTATAGCAAGGGACAAATAATTATTTAGTCTGAAGACAGAAATTTATGAAGTAACAGGACCTGAAAGATCATGAAGATATGTTAAGTGTAGAAAATAGAAGATGCAATATAACCTTAATCTATGAAAAAGCTAATCCCTAAAGTTACTTCATAAATGAATATAGCAAGCAATGTAAAAAATATGAGATTCAAAGTTCAGCCATTAATATCTATATCTAATGTTTGTAGCATAGGTGTGAAACAGAACCTTGTAAGCAGTTTTTTCAATTTTTTTTTTCTAGAATAACAGAATTGTGAAAGAGGATGACAAGCAAACTGCAGAGGTAAGTATTTCCCATTGAGAGCTGAGCAAAGTCTGCTGGTTTGTCTTAGCACACATATGATTTACTGATGGGACTAAAAATGCTGAAAGATTGTTCACTGGGTGAAAAGAAAATTACACTGCTTTAAGAAATTAGGAAGCACCTGCAAAAGAAATAGAGGACAGTGAGCTTACCACTTGATCTTTCCATCCTATCATGCACCCTGCTCCAGCTCAATTAAAATCAATGCACTAAAAAACTTCATAAGTAAAGTGAAAATATCTACTATAGCCATTTCTGTGTATGTCAGTGGTTTAGACTTTCCATGACATTAGCATGCTGAGGAGCTTGGCTTTAGGAGGATTGATGTGATGGACTCTGGAAAAGGAGAGGTTAACTCAAAAGTTCAGAGAGGAGATTCCAAATTCAGTATTCTTTAAGTGCCTTTTAAAAATTATTTCTTTTGTCAACATCACATATTCAAAAGCAAATGTCACTGAAAAGGAAATGGCTTTTTACAATGAAAATCTGTCCTTGGGCAGGGGAAAAGAGGAATCTGGATTTGAGTCTCTGTTTCATGTGTGTCCCTGTACTTTCAGAATGCTGCAAAAGGATTAATTGATCGAAGGCAGAATGATCAAAGAAAGATTTCTCAGGGAAGGTTGGTTCCTCGTTCTGCTGGCTTTGAAAACTCCAAAGAGAAGCTCTCAGACCAAAAGGAAAACTTTGATCCACGTAAACATATGGATACTTTACCTAAATTCTCCCCTTCAGCTGGTGATGGTGGCAGAATGTCTCTTAATACTTGCATGAATGTTTGTGAAAATGAACTTGGAAAATCATTCCTCAAGAAAGGGAAAGAAAATGATGTTCCTTTAAGAACCCATCTACCAGGACCAGGAATAGGAAATATGGACTCAAAGCTAAAAATTCCTGTTCCAGAAATGAGAGACCATAAAATTCCATGTAAACCAGAATTTAAACTGTGTGGACTGCGTCCTCCTCTATTACGGGCTGTGTCCTGGGATAGCTTGGAGCCTGGACAGAAAGAGAAAACCCCTTTAAAATTACCATCTGAGGAAGATAAAAGCTTTCTTGGTAATAAATCCAGCAATCAGTTAAAAGCATTCAAAGACCTTCAAATCCAAGTTCAGCCAGTTCGAATGCAGAAGCTGACAAAGCTCAGGGAGGTAAGTCCTGTCATCAGCTGTATCCTGTTATAAAAAGTCATTTTCATACCCTACTAAACTTTCAGCATGTTTAGTAGTATTTTTATCACTGCAAGAAACATACAATGATAAAATGGGAAACAGTTTCAGCATAATCAGTACAGGATTGTACAACATTTTTCTTTTGCAGCTGTGCTAAACTGTAACCTGTAAGTAAATTCCATGGAATTACTCTATTTCTTAGTTCTCTTCAGGTATGCAGCAAGTGCACTGTGGTACTTCAGGGTGTACATATGCATGTGCTCTTGCATGTCTACATTTGCAAGATCTCAGAGGACAGGAAATGGGTTTGTAATGATTAGTTGATTATTGAACCTTCTCAGAAAATGTCTCAAAGTGTTCAGAGCTGTAGAACTGGGCATTTCTGACAGCAAGGGCATGTAGAACATGCCCAAACTTACTATTCCTAATTATAACTTGCTGCAAATTTGCCAGCTTCTAAATGAAAAGACTTGGGCTGCAATATCTGTTAACTAATCTATTGTTAAATAATTTTCTAAATGACTAATAAATTTAAGAATTAAACCCTAAGAAAAAAAGCAGAAATTTCATTAAAACCAAAAGAAAGCAGTGAACATCTCTATTGCTAATAATGACTTTTGAAAGAAAAAAAAAAGAAGTAGCAGGTACTTTCTTGAACAGCCTAATAAGGACATTTTCCTTATCCCCCAGTGATTAATATTTTAAGATTAATATAAGGCTGACAGGTGATAACCTCAAGTTCTGTACCTTGGTTAATTCATTCCCATTGTATTGTTTGGGAATGGCAGCTTCATTACTCATCTTTTCCTGTTGATATAACACACACATTCTTAATGTGTATGTACTGGAAGTTTTGATTATATGGACCCTTGGGCCATATAATTACAGGAGAAATTCTTCCCTGTGAGTTTTATGAGGCCCTGGCACAGGGTGCCCAGAGAAGCTGTGGCTGCCTCATCCCTGGCAGTGTCCAAGGCCAGGTTGGATGGGGCTTGGAGCAACCTGGGGTAGGGGAAAGGTGTCTGCCCATGGCAGGGGGTTTGTAACCAGATGATCTTTAATGTCCCCTTTCAACCCAAGCCATTCTATAATTCTTTAATTCTATAATTTTGAATGTCCTAGAAGTTGTTAAGCACAAATAAGAGAATAAAAAAATTTGCAATATTATCTATAATTCCATTTAGGCAAGATTTGAGCTCTATCTTCAGTAGGAGTTGTTTAATTATAAACGAAAGTGGGTATTTGTGAATTTAAACATGTGAGAATATGAAAGAAAATGAGGTGATAAAAGGAGAAATAAGACAACAAGGTTTAATCCTTGAGAATGCATTTTTTCCTATGTGTAAGGAATAGAGGTGGAACACAGTAACAATGAAGCATCCCAAACTCTGGTCTTAAAAAAGTCAAAGTGGCAAAGTCTTATGTGTAGGATTTTCTGAATTTCTTCTGTTATCTGGGATACTTAGTTATGACTGTGGCTATATCCAAAACTGCTTTTTAATTGTCAGTTACTAAAGCTCTCACTTACCAAAACTCTACATATCTACTTGAATAAGGAGCACATTTCACAAATCTTTCTTTGCATGGCCAGTAGTTTTTCTAAATGTCTATTCTCTTATTACATGGAATAATATGTAATATTCTAAAGTGTGTGTGAATTTATGAGTATCCATCTTATGTAGCATCTGACTGTAATGTAATGCAAATATCTCTATTATATTTATGCACTAAAGTAAATATTTTATTTGCTGTTCATGTGGTAGGGATATTTAAATTGAGATTAATAGTTCAGTTACTTAGAAATATTATTGTTTCTATTCACAGGAGCATATTTTGATGCGAAATCAAAATTTAGTTGGACTTAAGCTTCCTGAACTTAGTGAAGCAGTGGAACAGGAAAAAGGTGCAGTATCATAAAAACTGGAAGGAATGTTTGTTATATACTGATTTTTATAACTGACTATCATGTGGGGAAGAGGAGAAAAAGTCTTAAAATTTTCAACTTCATTTGCAATAATAGTTGAAGCAGTCATGGAGAACAGTAATAAATGAATAAATAAGAGACACCAATAATGGAAAGTACCTCAATTTCTTGATAATTTGAACTAAGAAGATACTGTAGGTATTATTACAACCAAGGGAAAAGATGCACATGTGGAATGGAGTCTGGCTTGTACCTAATATTGTAGGACTGAAGTTTCAGTAACTTTCTGTAAAAACATTTCAGCAGTGACGGATTAAATGGATATAACTTCTGTAAAATATTATGGTCACAAGGGTGAATTTGATCCCTGGGAGTATAAATAAGTGATGGGATGCTTTATTCCTTTTTTTATTATTATTTTAGTATATGTGTGGCAAGTACTGCAATGGCATTTTCAGTCCTGGTCCACATTTCTATGTCAATGTGAATCAGAAAAAGTAAGACCAGAAAAGAGTCATAAATATGTTTGAAGGATTGGAAAAATATGCCTTACAATAAGTGGCATTTTTAACCTCCATTTCTTTGATTTTTAAGGAAAAATAAAGGAAAAGGCTTTTTTAAAGAAAGGGCTTAAAGCTCTGCATAAATGAGGAAAAAGAAATCTGGCACCTAATATTTTCTCCAATCTAAGATAAGCAAAAAAGATTTGATGCCTGTAGCTGCATCTAAAAAGGTTCAGAATAAAGAGCAAAGATATGAACCTGAGGATAATTCAACATATGGAAGAAGTAGCAGTAGTGCTTAGCTAAAATATTTAAACCAAATATATTGATCTAAAATATTTAAACCAAACCTATCTATTTGTTTGGAAATAGTTAATTCGGAACTTGTTCAGTGTGACATTAACTGAAATGAAGATGGTTACTATGAAAGGAGCTGAAACTGCTTGTCCAAGATTTAATCCAAAGACAATTTCAATTTTTTTTTAATACTGTACATTTTGCTAATTCATACATTTTCACTGGGACTAGCTCATGAGCCTTAAAGTTCCTGTATCACTGAGAGATGATTGAGATACTACATTTCATGTTATGTCTGGAAATGGACTAATTTTCAGTGTGAATGAATAAAGATGAAAAAGGCTTCTTGTCCTCTATATTTAGTGATTATATCTTTGAAATCTTAGATATGATAATAGTATTCCTGTCACTCTGTTAATGTAGAATTTCCCAGAAATTATTAGCAGGCTCTTTTGAAACTATAAAATAGTTGCCATTTTACCAGCCTGCTACGTAATTTTGGCAGGTTTGGAAGTCTTGAGGAAAACATTGTGAATAAGATAAGCATTATTTTATCCAGCTTCTCAACATGGATCTCATGAGTATCACAAGCTTTTCTAGTCCAGTAAGTTGTCTAAATGGTAGCCAGAAGTTTAAGGGTCAACTCCTTGTCCTCAGTGGGGAAAACAAGCAAGGGGTCAAATTCTTAGTTAATTTGTTAGGGAGACCTACTTCCTTACATTGTCAGAGAAGCCACTTTTTCAACTGGAGTGGTAACTTTGCTTAAACAATAGGAAATAGTCAGATAGTTCATTATTGCTGTTATGAATCCAATGTACTGTCTCCATCATGGTTTTTACCAATGACAAGTTACTGTCACCATCTGAGTAAACACAACTTTGCATCTACATGAGATAAGTGGAATGCATTCATTCTGGAGACACTGTGGTGTCAGGCTGGATTTGATGGGGATACATGTGACTGTTCTGCAGTAAATACTGGAATTTTTAAATATAAAGCAAAGGATCTCCCATTCTGTTCCATCTTTCATGTTGATACTCTCCAGATTTGCACACTAATTACACAGCAAGTCTAAAAATCCTTCTGTTAAACTTAGGAACAGGAGAACTGTTTAAAGATTCCGTCCCAAGTCTGAGATTCAGACTGAGGAATCTGCCTTTCCTACAAGAGAGTCCTTAATGAAATTCTGATAAGAGAGAAGGAGCTAAGGGAACTAATATATGTGAAATTAAATAAAATGAAAATACATAAGCTAAGTAACATTAATTATATTAAAAAAATGTTAGCCATGTCTTGGTCCTTATGAAAGTGACAGAATCAGAGAATGTAAGTATAACCTTTATATGCTCTTTCAATGAACATACAGTGCAAACATGTATGCAAATTACATGATGTAATTTATAACAATAAATGGTGTACAAAATTTGTATATGGTCCATTACACTGCACTTCATCTTGGCAGGTGGCATTTAAAGCCTTAGAAAATGACAGTATTCTATTACAAATTCTCGTCTAAAATAGTCCAGAAAATAATGTTGACTTTTCAAGTAACATAGTTTTTTTAAATCTGAAAATGTTTTTAGGCCCTTCACCTCTCCCTTCCCCCACTGAAGAGGAAGAGACAAAGAACAGCTCTGATGTCATGCCCAGCATTCCTGATGTATTGCTGCGAAAACTGCGAGTGCACAAATCACTTCCAGGAAGGTAAAAGCTCATTAGGAGTGGAAACACTTCATCCAGGAGAAGGCACACTAATGGTCTCCAGCCAGCTTCCCTTCCCTCCATTCACAGGGAAAGCAATTGTTGCATTTTAAAATGTGCAACACAGATTTACTGACAAATTTTGGGGAATGCACCAGCTTCCAGTAACTGGCCAACTTTTAAAATTAATTTGTGAGCTCTACATAAGAAGTCTTAAACCTTAATTGCATGCTACAAGTAGATTTTTATACAGATTTTTCCACTCCTGGTTTCCAGGACTGCTGCTGCAGATATGAACTCATATTGAAAATATTATTTCTCACCCCCATGAAAATAATCAGGCCAGATGATGCTTTCCAATGGAAGAATTTGGGCATGTAAGAGTTCTGCAGTTTCTCTGCAGGTGACAATTGTTTAGGGAAACTGAGTTTATTTTGCAAACGCAGTTGAAGGACTCACCTGTGAATTCACTGATTTGGACTTTTTCAAGACATTAACTTAATCCAAATTTAGTCAGCCAAAAATGATTCCTCCATTTAGCCACATGGTTATGTATCAAAACCACCAGAGCCTTCACTTATCTGAACTGTCAATAAGGAGTCTCTGTGCAGGTGAAATAAATATTTAACATTTATGGTGGAGGAATTATTATATACATGATTTTATATAAATGAATGTGTGAGGTGAAGAACTTCTGAGAGACCATTGCTTGATTGTAATCAATACTGAAAAAAATTGGGAAACTCTTGAAACTTAAACATATTTTGTTGTTCTTTTCAGTTAAGTATTAGAATACCTTTGTTTTTAGAGAAAAAACCTCATTAAAATGTGATTTTTTTAACTTCTAGCTCCCCACCACTCACTGAAAAAGAAGTTGAGGTAAGTATGTTATCATTTTAGACATATCCCAACTTTAAGTGATTACTTTGTGTGGTTATTAGAATGAGGTAATGGGGTGATTTTTTTCCCCCAAAATATATTTCTCATTCAAAAAACCCCAAAACATATTGAACTTCATCAAAATAACAATTTTGTGAAATATGAGCAAGAGAAATTGTAAAACAACAGAGTAGGAATAAGCAAAACATCTGGTTGTGTTTTTCATAATAAAATATGAATTCTCTTTGGAAATTGTTTTAATATTTTGAAGTTGTAAAAAAAATTTAGGTTAAATAAGACCAGAAACTCAGCAATTTAAATTGCATTTTTATTATCTAAAATGAGCTTTGGGGCTTTTTTAAATAATATCCTGCTGTTAGTTTACATAATTTTTTTCTCAGTTCAAGCCAATAATTTTGTTTGCAGGTCTCTCTTTAGCTTGTAGCATTTGTTTCTTGTATTTTTTTAATCACATAACAGTCAAGAAAAAGATCTTTTTTTACAATACTGCAGTCTACTGGAACTGTTGGTGCCTTGTGCTTTGCGAAGTATTAATCCAAAGAAATTACTAAACTCTGATAAAGAAAGAAACAATCTTTAAAAGCAGGGTGTAAGAGAATAAAAATGTTAGCACTTAATCTTTTGCTGGCTTCAGGGGTAGGTGTTTATCCCTTAGGTAAAACAATGCTCATGGTGAGCTCATCCCTGGACTTCCTCTGCACAGACTATCTGTTTAAAAACCTTGGGGACCCTTGGAGGAAGTCCAGCTAGAAAACAGATCCATTGTGATTCTGGTGCCTCTGGTTGGCTGCTTCCTTCATTTTGTCTCTGCCCTACAGAGCTCCCAGAAAAACATCCAGGAAAAGAGGCAGCAATGCATTTATTATTCCTATTTCAATGGAAATAAATAGAAGTGGTTTTTCAAAGAAAACAAATTTAAAAATACTTCCAATTTTCTGTTTCAATACTTATTTAAGCAGCAAAGTTAGTGAAACATATACCTTATTCATAAGCTGTTGTTGAAAATTATATTACTGTGAGACTTATTGGAAAATGCCTTTTTTAATCCAAACAGAATGTATTTGTACAACTCTCCTTGGCCTTTAGAAATGATAGTTATACATTGGAATCTAGAATTCAGCAGGCAGAGAGAGAGAGAAATCTTACTGAAGAGAATGCTGAGAAGGAACTGGAAAACTTTAAAGCAGCAATTACGGTAAGAAAACAGTGGGAATTCTTTTCCTGAACTGTAGTACACATGAAAGTGCACACACATTGCAAATGTGTTTGACTTGTAAATTCAGCCCCAAAACTTCATTTTCTGCTGCTCAAACTCCTTGCCATGAGCTGCCTACTACTCTGAGAGAGGCCATATTCTGCCAGAGTGGGCCAGCATTGCTGGAAATGCTTAGGGGATGCTTCCCTGGGTCTAGCAGATTTCCAGAATAAATACTAGGAATTTTCTGTTCAGTTCTTGAAATAAGCCTGTGACACAGCTAAGAGCATTTAGAACTGCAGTTGAAGCCTTGATTCATGCTCTCCTGGGCAAGATCTTCTTTAGCAGTGAATTTTAAGTGTCCAGATATGAAAGATACCAAAATGATTTGAAACCTGAATCCTGAGATCTGTAACATGAAAGGCCTCTTAACTGCAGATACTAGAAGGCATCATGTGTGAAAGGAAACAGCAAGGAATACTTAAGGAATAGGTACAATCTCAGGCTCAGGTTAGAGAATGAGTACACTTTAATTCCAGCTGTGCCTGGTGTTCCTTTACAGCAGTAGTTTTGAGTTCTTCCTGACAGCTTTCTCTAGGTTTTCTAACTGGAACAACAAAAATATACTAAGATGTGTCAGCTAAAGTGCTGTGCATGTCTTTGTGCATAAAGGGAGAGATGGTTAAACATCAGGCTGATAAATGAAATAGCCTTAGACCCAGCATGCACTATTGTAAGGAGGTGCTGCCACTCTTATGAGAATAGTGAGGAGAACATATGATTCTCCCATTTACTTTATCAAGAACATCAGGTAAGAAAAAATACAATTAAAGAAAGATTGTGATCTTCACATCTTTTCATCTGGAATTCCAAATCTCCATTTTCAATTGATTGTTTCTGTAAAAAAAAAAAGTTGAGAATATTTGGCTGCTCTTCACTCTATTCCATATGTAAAGAGCAAGCAGAAACAGCCTATTAGATCTCAGGGTTTTCAGACTGAAATAAGTCTGTTAGATTTGCTGTGTGTTTCTGTCAAGAATTCTTAATTAGGCACCAAGGTTCATGTTGCCAGTATGGGACAGATGTGATTAGGATTCTCTTCCTTTAAGCAGTTCACATGCTACAGTCTGGCTTTTACAAGCTTTTTTACATGATTTATAACAAAGTGGAAACTGCCTTCCCCATGAAAGCTTTTGTTCTGGACAATGGAATAAACTAACAAGCAATTAAAAGCAATGATGGCTTCTGTAAAATCTCTCTCGTACTAGATCTAGACTTGTTCCAATCTCGTTGAGAGGTTATCTTCATTTCTGTAGGACAGGCACATATTTTATGGCTCAGTGACAGTTTTACCAGTCTTTCTGATTTTTTAATCAGTCTTGTGATAATTGATGTGTTATTCAGAAACCAAATTTCAAGAGAAAGCTGATCTATGTGAATTTCCAATTTTTTTTTGAGAAAGTAAGGAGGTTACAGTTGTCAAGAAAGAAAAGGAAACTCTAAAATTATGTGCATGATTCTCCCTAAACATATTCCCTTATTTCTTTTTGGTTCTTGCAGTCAAATGTTGGCTGCAATTTATTATCAAGGTAGCATTGCAATTCTTGAGACTATAATGTCTTATTTTCCAAATAAGTGAAGTATCATGGAACTGAAAGAACACATGTGGCCTTCTTAATACTTGTGTCCAGAAAATTAAAATGCCCTTTGTCCCTCAGCAATCATTTTTAAGTGCTAGTTGAAATTAACTTAGTATTTGTAGAGTTTACAGGTTGTTGTTATAGGACACATAAATAACACGACACAGATACGCAGCTTTTTTAAGGTAAAAAAAGCATTTTTGATTTTTTACTCCAACATTTATAGATATCCAAAAGTGACAGTGGATTGGAGGGTGTTCTAATGACACTGGACAAACCAACAGTCCATCAAATTTCTTCTGTTCTATAAAAGAATGCAAAACAATGAATTATTTACATAAAGTGTGTGAAAAAGTTTGTTGCAAGAATGTAAACATCAGAAGGCTTAGAAAAACTTAAAAGAACAACAGGTAGCAGAGTATGTTTCACTTCAGATTTCAGAAGGGAAGTATCACAAATGTGGTGAGCCCTCTCTAACTCCTCAAACTGTGTTCCTGCAGCTTGCAGTGAAGCACCAGGGCAGCAGCACTCTGGGCTGGGTGTGGTGGCAGTGCTGACACCCCTCTGGGGCTAATCTCTCCATGAGGAGTTCTGCCTGGACATTTCCACCCCATTTTGAGGCTCTGGCCACTCCATTTTAACAAAAAACATGCTGATAGAATTGATGTGTTGTTGTTTCAGTCTTCAGCTCACCTGTGGCACCACTATGAGCACAGGGAAGCCTACCAGAAGCTCCTGGAGGACATCGCGGTGCTGCGGCGTTTGGCTGCCAGGCTCTCGAGCCGCGCCGAGATGGTCGGAGCCGTTCGCCAGGTGAGGGCATCCTGGTCTTTACCTGGGTCCTGGATCCACAGGAGCACTCTTTGCCAGCCTGGGCTAGAGCTTGTGTTCACCCTCTGAGTTTTATTTGCCGTTTTGACAGGTTAAAGACATCTGTTGTAGTGTCAGGTAACACACTGCTGCATCCTGGAAATAGAGTTCCAGCAGAAGATTGCCCATTAAGCTCCTTAACATCTGTACAACAGGAGCATATATTTTATTCAGAGCTACAGCTGCATCACAAGAAACTATTTTCAAATCAGTGCAGCACATTATAAAACTATTAAGGAAAAATAAAGAACTTTTCTGGGTCAAAAAACTCATCTAATTCAGTCACCTGCCTTTGGCAATAGCTCAGTCAATTACAAAGAATATGAGGACAGAGTGAGTATAAATAAGAACACATCAATACCCTCCCAGATTTAAGAATTTTCCCTCTACCCTCCAAAGTAACCAGATTCATGCCAGTGACTAAGACCTATGAGTGTTTGAAAACAAATGTGGTATACCACATGAGTAATCAGATAGGCACACAAACACAGTTTCTGAATATATGACAAAATAAATTATTATATTCTGTGAAATGCATATGAACTGGCATTTTCTTCTAATTATCTTAGGAATTTTCAGTCATGGAGGCACCAATATTTCCTTAAGAACCACAGCTCCAGATTTAGCCCTGACATGGAGCATACATATAGAGGCAAATGATTTGCTGGCAATGCGTAGAGGTTACCTGGATATTTCCTTCTTTTCTTCCTTAGGAGAAGCGTATGTCAAAGGCAACAGAAGTAATGATGCAGTATGTGGAAAACCTGAAAAGGACATATGAAAAGGATCATGCTGAACTAATGGAGTTCAAGAAACTTGCCAATCAGAATTCTAGCAGAACCTATGGTGCATCTGGTAAAGACCAAAAAAAAAATTAAGAGTTTGCCTCTAATTCAGAGAGATGTTGGTGCTATTAATGATTTAAAGTAAAGTATTGTGAAATCTGTTCATGAAGTTCTGATCTACAGGAGTAGATTTTCAAAAGTTACAGAAATAAGTTAAGATGTTTCATATGAGCCATACTTAATGCTATAGTACAATAATTTGAAGTCCCTATCACTTACCAAATTCTGATGAGATCCAATAATATTTTCTCGTGGCCTTTTGCAAATCCATTTAATCTGCACAATTTTAATGCAGATACCTTTTAGGTCCAGATGAAGGCAAAATTTCATTATTAAAAACACTGTCTTTTTGCAACCTCTTCTTTCCTTTGCTGAAAACTGAAATATGAGGATTTTCCTTTGCAAAAACTTGTATATGGAGGCCAATAAGTGGGATTTTTGCCTGATTCAGTGAAAATAGTACTGCTTTGGTTATTTGCAATCATTTCACATTTCTTGTGCAGGTGTAATTGAGAAGACAGCTGTATGGCAATAAATATATGGTCACTTACAGACCCTGTGTAAATATACTGTATCTGAGTTTGAAATATAAGCAAGGGTTCTATTAATATTATTTAGAGATACTCACATAGCCTGACTGTTCTTTATCTTTGTTTCTGTGCAGAAGATGGGGTTCCTCGTTCCTCTAGATCCATGTCTCTCACTGTTGGAAAGGTATTTCTGCAATATAAGGAAAACGAACATTTTATGTAGTGACATTTCTTTGTCTATATACACTCAGTTCTTTAGGCTGTGCTCAAACAGTGCTGGTAAATTCTCACTATCATTTATGCAATTTAGTGCATGTGCTTTGCTGTTTTGGATACATGACTTAGTATGGCTTTGTGCAATACCCTGATGGGGAACTCCAGTGTTTTACTTCTGCAAAACTTCCAAGTGTTGGAGATCAAGTCTGTTACAAAATTTCCTAAAGCAACCAGTGATTTGGGAGGCATGAGTCCCAGTATGACCATCATAAAATTTGGTGACCCAGTCATATTATACTCAGTCTACTGCTTATTCTCATATTTTTATTTGATTGGGTTGTAGTTCTTTAGGTTTAGTTTATTCCTGCCACCTCTGAGTGTTGGGTATAAAGAATTACAGAACAGAACATGCAGAGGGCGAGATGGGATTTCACAATCAGAACCCCATAGGTTGAAGCAGAGGTCTCAAAAAAAGACTAAGTTTAACAGGGATGAGTCCAAATAATAGAGGAGACAAAAAAAGAAGTCAAACACTAGAATGGACTGCCTTCCATGGCTGCAAACTTTCCAGTTTAGTTTTTCAGGATCATATTAAATAAAACTGTCATTAATAAATAGGTATGGTTGGTTTTGTCTAGAACCAGAATCCTGGAGAGACTCCTAAGTATTCACTAAAGCTGTGTTCACTCTTTTCCTGTAAAGCTGTCTAGAGAACAATCTTAAAAGTGTTTGGATATGCACTAAAACATAGCTGTTAGATGCTATAAGTGTTTTGATATTTTTACTTAGTTGGAAGCATAGATTTTATAGGATGAAGCATTTGGCTACATACCAAATGACAACAAAAATTTGCATAATCTGTACTTGAGCTAGAATATATTGTTACAATTAGCATGTGTGTATCATAAGAAAGAATTTTTATGATCTTTGGGAAATATGAGCAGTGTTGCATGATGCTATCAAACAATTCAGGGGTGGGGGAGAAGGGGCTGCTCTTTTGTGGAAGGAATGGGTGTTTTTGCTTCAGTAAATTATAATTAATATGTTTACATGTAATTAATATATTATAGTGGGTACAGTATATCATAATAAGGGCATAGCAAGGTAAGAGTTTCATGTGTGACTTCATTATTTCCAGTCATTGTGACACTGGCACTTTCATTATGCATCTGTTTTCATCAAAGATAAAGGCCTATGATAAGAACTGACAACATAAACTCAGAACATTTCTGTTGTGTGATTTACACTGCTGGGCTTTCAGCATGGAGGGAAAAGAGCAGCATCTCTGTGCCACACCTCATTTCACATTGAGCACTTGCCATACATACCAGGCAGTAGAAGATGAATTTCTGGGAAAAACCATGACCTTTTATTTTACTTCTGCTCCCAACTCTCCGTTTCCCAAAGGGGACACTGACCTACATCTTTGCCACACAAATCAACCCACAGAATTTTTCTTCATTCTGTCTTGTATGGTAGAAAAAATAATTGTTTTTTCTCCCAGAATATGCCTCGAAGGAGAGTCAGTGTTGCAGTTGTTCCTAAATTTAACTCCTTGAACATTCCTGGTCAGTCACCAACAGCTTCACCTATACCTTCAATGCCATCCCTGGTAAGTAAAACCCACATTTTAAAGTTACCAGTTTTTGTCTAAACCACTTTTGCACAAGGCCAAGCCATAGTTATTGTAAAATGAAAGCTTTTCTTTGATTTAACTTGTTTTGACTCCATCCTGTGCAGGGGATGGACAGAGGTAATTCCTATTGTGTAAGCAGATATTGCAATCTACCTCCATGAATGATCCTTTTGGGAAGAGCTGAATAGGGCAGGCTGCTGATTCACAGGCATTGGACTTTGGTGAGGCAATTTGCCTTTTAATCTGAAATAACACACAGGAAAGAAGTAATGAAAATAGTTGTACACTGTAGAAGAGAAATTTCAACCAGAAACCACAGAACACAGCTGGACTGCTGTTCTTCATTGCCAGAAGCCCACTGGACAGAAATACTTGTAGTTAATGTACAGAAATGTTCATGGTAGCAATTTAGAGCTTCTGTGATGATCTGGGATCAGTGGAGCCATCAGCCTCTATATTGAATTTTTTTTTTTTAACTTTAATAAATTAAATGAAATTTTAATCTGAACATAATAAATCCATACAAATGCTTTGGAGAAAAACTGCTAGACATAGTCACTGTTCAGAGATGAGCTAAGATGAGATATAACCTTAATGTTATGGAGTTTTCTGTTAAAAATATAGGGTTATTTAAATGAGGGTTTTGCTGAGAAGCTAAAGCTATTTATCTATTTTCCTTGTAAGAAAAGCATCTATTTGTGCAATTTATTTATTATGTACTCAGAGTCAATTTCTTCAGGAACAAGGTGTGTTTGTTTGCCATGGTTTATTATGAATGATTTTTGTTTAAAATTTCCCATTGAAAACTCAGCTAATAAATGCATGTTCTTAGGATAATAGGAGAGGAGCAAGAGAATAATTTTATTGGTCAGTGACCAATGTATGAAGGAGAACATTTTCTGGGTAAAAATAAACAGGATAGAAGGAAATGCCAGAGAAAATTCTTAGTGTGCAAGTCCATTGTTTGCTCTGGTTAATGGGAGCAATGTGGAAGCACTACATTAAAGATACTTTGCTCATGAATATGGGAAGGAAACCTAAGCAGCACACTGCCTTTGTAATTTTATTGAACACTTATTAGAAATTAATTAATGAATTTTAATTGGTATTTAATTATTTAGTCATGAATGTTAACTAGTTAAAGAATGCAACATTTATTGCTGTGTTTTACTTACAGACTGAATCACCAAGTAATGGAAGGAGCAGCCTAACATCTACTCCTGCTCTGCCAGCACTTCTGGAAAAGTGAGTTTTGTCCAGGCCATCTCACTATCTAGTAAATTATAATACTAAATGATAAGTTAAAGAATTATTATGTAGTAGTGATATTACTGCTACTTGTTAGAATGCTTTAAACATGCAAATTAAAAGCTTTCACTGTGAATTTCATGTATTTTAGATTAGTGCTGAGGCAGGAAAAAATTTATCTTGTGTCCTTGTTTTACCTTGGGCTTTACTGCAAATGTAAGTATGCAACAACTGAGAAAACAAAAATGGGGAACTACAGCACTGGCTGCTACTATTCAAAAGAACTCTGCAAGATCTAGACCATCTTCTGAAACTGCACAGAAATTCTGTGAGAAAATACAACAACCAAAAAAACCCTTATCAATATTTCACACCTAGGAAAACAAATCATGTTACCAAGCAGCAGAGGCAGAACTTGAAATTCATGTTTGAGCCTAAGTGTGTGTGCATGGGCCAGCTGGTCAAGTAGTGTAGAATTACCCAGACCAGTACAGTTTTGTGTGTTTAAGCACTTCAAGCTTATACTCATGGTTTGGTTAAAGTCCAAGTGAAAATAATGTTTCTTGTTAATATGACTTGAGAGAAAATCCATTGCCCACAGATGGTGTCAATCAGGTTGAACTACTTTAGTACCAGAAAAAGAAAGCATGCAAAAAGGGTGAAATTCCAGAAGTTGAAATGGGATCCGTTGTTGAGCTTATTAAACCTTGACTTTGATAGATCTGCTGTGTCTCAGTCACTAACTTCTCTGTCCCAGTTAAAATAAATGATAGGAGAGCACTGCAAGAAGACAGCAAAATAAACCAGCTTATCTTCAGGCTAAACACTCCAAACTTGTACTTGAGAAAAGTTCTAGAAAGTCAGCACAGGAGAATACTCAAAAGGCAAAAAAGCCCCATGTTTTGTTGAATTAGCATTTGACATTACTTCTGTTGTGTTCCTCTTATGTAGCAGGTTACAATGTCTAAGATGAGTTTTAGAAAGTTGAGGGAAATGTTTTCATGAATAGCAAATAAATGTCATGGATGAGCCAGGAACGAAAGGCTCTTTTCTTCTTTTTTAAAGAATTAAAATGCTAGTTTTCTTACCTTAGAAGCATAATAATTGTTCTTAAATCACAACATCCTGAAACATCTTAATATTTTTCTTAGTGTTAATTTTTTTCTTTTGAAAGACATTTCATTTCTTCAATGTACATTGAAAAAGACAAATCATGACTCACAAAATTGCAGCATGCTCCAAATACAGCACATTTTCCTGATGTTATTTTCTGTCTGCTTCTTTTGTCTTGGCAGTGGGAAGTCAAATGGAGAACCTGACTGTGAAACCTCAACTTCTGTGCTGACACAGAGTGGGTTGGAAGAGATCAGTGCTGAAACTAAAGCCAAGATAGAAGAGGAAGCATATAACAAGGGGTGGGAATATTTTTTGTGAACTAAATCTGTAAAATGTGCTACCAGAGGAGAACATGTGTTTTTAAAATTTAATTTTAAATACAGTAGTTATGTTGTTGGTGTCACAAAGTGCTTCACACAGCATGTTTTCAGGCAGTTAAAAACTTTGGGATCTGTTTCTGAATGTCAAACAAAGAATTTTGCATTATGTGAAGAGTGAGACAAATTTTGATCCTCTCCTGCAGAATCCAGCATGCCATCTGACTTTAGCATTGAATTGCATTTATTCTCCAGGAAAAAAGTAGAGGATACTCAAAGTGATGGAGAGCTATAGAGAAATGTTTACTGGCTCCTTTACTATAGACAGAAATTGTACTCTGTGGAGAACAACTTTTTTTTGTTCAGAATTATAAATTTGGTGTCAGCTCTAATATAATCCTCTGTTCAGGAAGGGTGGCTGTCTGTGTGCTTTACTCACGGTCTTCAGCTAATGTTTACTCTTACTCAGGTGCTTCAATGCTTCTGCTTGTGTTTTATTACATATAACAAAACATAAAGATAATTTTTCATTAAATAAGATCATGCTTATTCATCCTACACTAAGAAATAAATGTTTTATCTGATAAAGATATCAGGAAGCCTTGAAGAAAACCAAAGAACTTCAGGAGCTGAAGGAAGAAGATGAGGAGACACCCAAAGAAAGCCATGAGGAACATGAAGAAAGTGAAAATGAAGATGAGATAAAAAATCTGAAAAGCAGGTGAGACAGTGGTGTAATATGCCCATACAAGAGAGGCCACTTTTTTCTACTCATGGTACCCAGGCATTTTATACTATCATTTTGGCATGTTCTCCTGGGGAAGCATATTCAAATAACATTTTCACAGAAAGTAATATTCTAACACAAAACAGTTGCAAAACACAAAACTTTTGATTTTTATATTTTCGTTAAAGCTGTGTGTTGACATCACGATGCTTCATCTTGCTGGGGTTTGGTTCTGATTTGAGGTAGAAGCATGGTCCATAAAAGTTCTTTAGATGCCAAAATGCATCTCTCTGTGAATATGTACTGCCTTATAAAGGTTGTAATTCAGGAGCATGAATTGGTGCTGTGTGTCATTCCTGTCACTGAAGTGACACTGCATCCATCTGCACCCAGTGCTCTCTGTCTGTACATTACAGAGGCATTGAATGCTGACCAAAGCAAGGAATGTGTCCAATCCCAGGTTAAGGCAGGGATCCTTACCTAATCCAGAAGAATTCATCTCCATTCCATAACCATTACAGCTATAAACATCTGCTGATTTCAGATTTCAGCTGCCTTCAGAGAGCAACCATCTCATTAGTCATGACATTCTTGGAAAGAAATGTTTACCACATATTCCAATGCTTAATTTAGTTGATCAAGGTATGAACAGTGCAGAATTTTGCATGGTACCAAGCTCTGAGATGTGCCAGCTGACAGGTGGGAGAAATAGGATTCAAATTTAATCTCCAGTTGTCTCACAAATATTACTCATATAGAATAGCTGGACTTGGAATATCTGAGTGTACAGCTCTTCATAAAAGAATTTTACAGTTTGATTCTTCTTTGACAAGGTGTTTGTATAGGGAAAAAAAGATGGTGTACCACATATGACACCTTCCAAATTGAAAAGCTTAAAATAATAAATTTGCATTTGATTAATATATAATAGTTTTCTTTTTATTTTACAGCAGACTTGAAGTCATCATTAATTATTTATATATCCTGTACCCCAAACTGTGCAAACACTGGAATGTGGTGTGGCTTGTGGTGGCTGCAATAGTCATTTTTGCTGTGGTGTTGGGAATTTACCATTCCTACAACTCCTGTGATGAAAAGTCAGAGGCACCTGAAGGGAAGGCCAGCTGCTCTGCGGCCCAGCAGTATTCCTGGTGGAACTCAGGATTCCGACAGGAGCAACGCACGGAATAACAGAGGGACAACCCCACCCTTACAGTCCCTGAGCAAGTTTGTGTATTAGAGCACCGTTGTTAAAGGTAGTGCTTAGTCATCCCTGTGGCTGTCCCACTGATCCCTTAGGCAAGTGAGTTACTCTACACCACCAGGTTTGGGATCCATGGTGAGCATTCCTTGCTAAGATGCCAATCTGATAAATAATCCTGTCCGTCCTCTTGTTGTAAAAGACTCATAGAAATAAAGTAGTGTTGAATCATGGTAAGGCTGTGGCAGTAATCAGCAACCTGCAAGACATTTAAAATAACAATTTGCACAGGACATTGACATTTTGAAAACCATCATAAAACCTGCATTTGCAGTTAATGCTTTACTTTGCATTTCCTGAATTTACTGTTGATTGTTGAAGTACTAATTGCATTGAAGTCCTTTGGGTTTTAAGAGGCTAATTAAATTCCTTATTCATGACTATTGAGTAGAAATAGAAGCACTTCCATGGAAGAATATAATTATATTCTAAGACCAAATGCCTTGCTGCTAAAGTAATTTTATAAGAGGAATTGTCTATATGATTATTTAAATGGAATGCTAAGTACATGCATAAATGTGTTTTATGATATGCTTTAAGAATGGGACCACCACTTTTTTTTAATGGGGTACTCAACAGAACCTAAAATGGGGTCTAGGTGGCACATCTGATACCATCCAATAAGTCTGGAAAGTTCTGAGATATAAAAGTTTCCAAAAATGTATTTATGCCACTCAGAGTCAGTACTGCTTACAGCCAAAAGTGGTAGATGCCTGGAAGGGTCCATGTGCTACCCAAGCCCAAAACACAACAGTCTTGGGCATGGGAAGCAATCTTCAATTCTTGATTGAAAAAGAAAACAAAAGCTCTTCAAACCTCTGTATGGAGGTGACCACACCAAGTGGACTCTGCCCTCCTGCTAACACTGGAAATAGGCATTCTTTGAGATCTGCAGCAGGAGCAGAGCCCTGAGAGCAACCAGACCCCAACCAGGGCCTGCATGAATCAGGCCGTGGTTGCAGTGAGGCCTTAGGAGAGCTCACTGTGTGTTTTCAGTAGTTCATTTTCAGAATCTAATGCCAAGACCAAAACTGATCTGATACACTTCCAAAGCTGAACTACCACCTCAGGTCAGAATAATCTTTTGCCCAGATTTTTTGCCAGTTCTGCCTATTTGGGAGTTGTGAATTCTTACACAAGAATGCGAAAGCCTGAAATTTTTGGACAAGCAATTTGAAAATGGTGAAGCCGTTACCTGTACAAAACCCAGCACCTAGGGCTGAGACCAAAATGTGTGTCAGTGGAGGTGGGCCATTTGTACCTGCTGAGCATCACTTCTGAGGGAAGGTGAACCGTGTTTGTGTTTCCATAGCTACGGCCACAACGGCAAATCCAGTGTGACCCTCGATTGCACTCCTGTCCTGCATCCTCCTGGCATTTTCTGGTTGAGAAATGGGTCTGTTTTCCAACAGAAGGATAAGAGTGTTATGAAGTACTGTAATTTCAGTTCTGATACAGTCAATATTGTCCTGTCTTTTTTTGGTGGAAACACTGAACTTCAAGCTGTCAAAGAAAACAGGTTTCTAACTCAGTCAGAAATTTAGTTCATATACCTGGCACTAACAACAAATATCCTGCTTGTGAATTTTTGTTGGCCATATATTTCTTAGAACATATTTATAGGGGAAAGGAAAAAAAAAAGTGGACCACTACCACATTTTTGGGGGATGGGGTGGGGAAGGGAGTCTATAAGCAATTAGAAAGGGGTTTTTTTTTAAATTTTAAAGTATATATATTGAGGAATAATGTGCTTAAGGAAGTTCAAAAAGGATAACGGGGAAGTGTGATTTGGTCTAAAATTGCAATTGGTAAAGAATAAAGAGAAGGATTTTTGCAAATTACTTGGAATCGGGTTCAGTTAGAATTTCTGACTGTGAAGAACTACTGTGACCTTTCATGTACTTTCAGTATTTGAAGAAACTCATCAGTTGTTTCTTGAATACTTTACTAAAATCAACTTCTTTAACTTAATATTCTTTACAAATAACATTGGTAACTTAACAAGGCGATAAAATTGAAAGTAAATACTTCTAAATATTCAGATTTTTCTATGCCAAACATTATGGCACATATTTATGTGATTGTGGAAATGTTGAGCTGCCCTGAAGAAAAATAATTAACACTGCCTGTAATTGAATTAATTTGTTTTTATTTACATCTGCACTGTCGTGAGTCCAACAATTTATTTTAAGTACACATAAAAAGTTATTGATATCAACAGGACTCTCTAATTGCTTAGTGTTAAGCATGTGAAAAGGTCTTTTTGGTCAGTGGGTGAGTGAGCTCTCCATCCTCTTAAAATTCAGCACACTGGCTTTTTGTGGAATTAGTGCAAAGGGACAATTCCCATAAGTAGTTTTACTGATTTGAGCTGAACTACTTGCATGTATGAGGTAAGTATAATTTAGCCACAAATGAACTGAAAGAGGCAAGAGATTTTAGTGAGGGTGCAAAAATGATGATAAAGTTTACTAAAAAAAAAGAATTGTTCTTTTTATAACTACTTTGAGCAAACTGTCCACTAAAAATAACAAACCACAATGACTAACAGCACACTAAATAGCTATGCTTATATTTTTCAGTTATTTAATTGAAACACCTTTTGTTTAATAGGAAACTAGATGAAGCTCAAAAACTACTCTAAATATAATTTTATCTGTTGGATATTAGTTTGCTTTATTTGGAAAAAAAAGCCGAACAACCTCTTCTGTGTTCAAAGATCACATCAGATAACAAGAAACAGACCTATTATTTATGCTATTAACACTGAAATAGTTTTCTTGAGGTGCAATATTTATTTTTCTGCTTTAACAAGACACATTTATGGTTTCTCCTGCACAGCACAAATGTTTCTAGCAAAAGGAATTTCAAAAGGGCACTATTTTTGTGTATCATATTTAAATTTGTAATATTGTAAGATTTTGCACAAGTGTGCTGGTATTGTACTGTATAGTATCACATACTTGAGTTTTGAAATAAAATTATGGTTTCAAAGTTCTCAGTGTTTTTACCTTGGGGTGCTCTGTCTACATATTGCTGGCCATGTCCTCATGAAATACGTCCTGCCTTGTATACACTGTTACACGTTCTGAGGATCTTGCTCTAAGTCTTCCAGTTCTTCAGGAAAATGGTACAGAAGAGGAAAGCAAGCTCCTGTGTCAATGGAGAAAGTGTTTGGAAACAGGATCATCCCTGCCATGCCCTAGAAACCAGCTGAGAGAGGAAGCTGAAATATCCTGGGAAGAGTTCAACTCCTGCTTCGGAGGGAGGCCATGTGTCCCGGAGGAGGCTGAACATGGGAGCCACAAGGGAGATCTGTAACCCAAGGATTGAGGGTGAAAGGTCAGGAGTCTTTATTTGCTTTGTGGACTTGGGAGCTCTGGGAAGCCTGGGTCTAGTGGGGAGCAGACTTGCCTGACAGTGGGTAGGAATCAATCCTAAAGTTCTGAATCTCTGATGGTCTCTGCCAGGGGACAAACTCTAGGACATCAGCAACCTGGAAAGGAATTACTGTTTCCATGGAAAGACCCTGATATTTGTATTTTCTCGTGAACATTTTTTTTTGTTTCCTCTACTGTTGTTCAGGTTTCAAGGTTCCTTTTGAAATTATTGTAGAGAACAGTTACATGTGTTCTGCCTTATCAATAGTTTTCGGTTTAGCAATCCTCATCAGCATTTTAAAACATGCTGACATAAAAGGCTGGCAATTTTTCATATAGGTTACAATAAGTATTTAGGTCAAAGACTAATTAATCATTCAGTACAGGTCTGGTTTTTTTTACCACACTGATTATGAAGAGGACACCAAAAGGTTAAAGACCTTTTGTACTGTTACAGTCCAGATAAGTGATCTTCGACGCAATTTTGGAGCAGCTGAACTATAAAAAGGAAGAAACACACAAAAAACAAAGTTATTTCAGTCTTGCCTTGTCCTTCTAAAATTCTGTTCTCCCTCTCCTAATCTGTAAGACCTTGTGAAGTAGCTCATATTGTTTGGTGTTGCAAAGGTGTTTATCTCATTTTTACAGCAAAAATCCTACTAAACATCAAGAGTTTGACTAAAGGAACTTGGCCAAGGCACAAAATGTTAAGATCTGGCAGGACAAGTAGCATGCAATTTTAAAATGTCAGAAACCCAGCTATTTATTAATTTTCATGGTAGGAAATACTTAGCAGTTTAAGGTAAGTATTTTCAATGGAAAGATTTTGTTTGATGTTGTCAGTATTTTACAGCCACAGTCTATAGTCTATGAGAGCTACAGAATAGCTAATAATTATTTTCTGCTTCTACTTTGTAAATGCCAGTGAATCCTCTTACAACCTTCAAGTGAGAGCTAAATCTGATTGCAGTATCTGACTTTGCCTGGCTTTGTAGGGGCAGGTAAGTAGAGCACAAGGAAGGGAACAGAAATTTGGGCTAGAACTTTGAGTTTTACCAAATTCAGTTCCAAACCACAGCCCAAACACAACCCAATTTTCATTTCATCACTGCTAATGGAGACGTGATCTCACTGACCCCCAGCATTCTCTTCAGGCCCTGTCTGTGTTACAGAGCACCATCTAACAAGCCAGTTACATGCTGCTGCAGATGTGCCTGTGTCCCATTAAAAGTTAATGCTATCTCATATATTAACTGAGGACTTTCTAAATCCAAACCACAGTTTAAAGAGGTAACTTTACACTGTTACACTTGAGTTTATAGGACTCTGAAAACAGTCTGGAGACACTGGACATCTAAAAGTCTGCTGAATCACAAGTTGAACATGATGTAAGAAAATCATACTGCTGCAAAAATAAAAAGACTGACACCATTCTGAACTGTAAAGCAGGTAAAGCAATTTATTAATTAGTCTTGGCATCAGCAAGGCATCACATGGAGCAAGAGAGTGAGGCAGCAGGGATTTCTTAGCTGAAAGAAAACTGGGAGCAGAGGCATAACTCTTTAAAACATAAAATGGTAGCAAAACATAAGGGAGTAAACTATCTTCCATGTCCATTGCCAGCAGGAAAGCAGTGACAGGTTTATACCAGGGAACAGCTAAGTCAAGTTAGTGCAGGGAACACCTTTGAATTATAAAGAATAGTGAGGCACTGAACAAGAGCATTAAAGGAAATGTTAGGAATCTGTCACTGGAAATCTTTGACGACAGGTTAGACAAACATCTGTCAGGAATAATGCAGATACAGCAGACATGACTGACACTAAAGGAATTAGCCCATCCCTTGAACTCCATTCCTGCTCTGTGTTTATTGGAATCTCTGAAAAAAAATCTGCTAAGACTTCTTGAAGGTTTTTTTAAGTTATAGCTGTAAGGACCATCTGTGTTTTGAATCAATCCAAGGGAATTGCTGTTTGTTGGAATGTCACAAAAGGCAGCAATGATGGCACTGGCTGCAACCTCTGTACCTATGGTCTCAAAAGGAATCCCATTTACAGTAGTGTATCTGCAAATCTCTTAATATATAAGTTTCATATTACCTCTGTGTTATAGGAACTAATTTTGCATTGGAACTCTAAGGGAAAAAAAAAGTAAAACTACACCATCAATACAAATAGGACAATGGGGAATGGATGCCCTTCCAGTTCCAATAAAAAAGAAAAATCCTGTGTGGCATATTGTGATACAATAGAAGATTTGTTTTATTTACCAGATGAATAGACAACATGAATAATGATCTGTTCATCGGTAAAACAGGAAAAAACAGCAAAAGAAAACCTCCTTTCGAAGCGTTTACTGACTTAGCAGTGTAACAGCCTTATCTCCCTTCCTCAGCCGTGCTTTGTGAATCAGCAGCAGTGACATTTTCCAGCAATCCCCACATGAAAGCCAGTGGAAAGGGCGATGAGGGATTTCCGCTCCGTGACCTCGCCCTGCAGTGGGACAGTCACCGCACTGGCTCTGCCATTCTTTCTACGAAGCACTGCAGTGACAGCTGAAGTTGCTTTCCAGAAGTCATCTCGTCATCTGACAGCATCCAATACCTTCACTTTCCTTAGCACAGGAGACAAACTACCTTGAATTTCCTACTTTTCTGAGTTTTCCAAGCTGGTGGCAATGGCAAATTATCTTGGAGTTACCTCAGCAGTGTCTTTCATCTGGGTTATGACATTCCTGGCTCAAAATTACTTTGTAACAGGTATGTAAAGTTCCACTTTCTAAAGTCTAGCAAAAAAATTTGGGGAAGGAGTGTGTGTAAATGTGTTTCTGGCAGAGGAAGCCACAGGACTTTGAGAATACAGTGCAACAAAAACTGGTATATAGGAAAACCTTCATTGTTTCAATTCAATTGCTGAAAATGCTGAAATCTTTGAATCTAAATGCCACAAAACTGCTTATTTTAAAGATCTGGTATGGCATTTAGGATTAAACTCAGATCTGTTGAAATGTAACTTCATTTTGTATCATTTTAAATACCAGAGCAAAACATGACACCAGTTCTCTTTCAAATTCCATTGTTAACTTGACATAATCCATCCTTACTGCAGTAGCTGCTGGGATATCTGCAGATGCTCAATGCACACGAAAAGCCTCCAGATGCTTTGCTGTTTTTCAAGGATTTAATGCTTGTTCTATTTATGTTAAAGAACATATACTGTTATTGTAGACAGTTGATTTTCTCACCTACTAAAAGACTTCCAGACTGAGTGAATGAGATGCTCAAGTCCTGTTGAAATTCCACAGGACTGGAGTACCTAACAACAGTAGTGTCCTCCAGCAAAACCAGCACGGTACAATTTCCACTGGGGAAAAGGAGAGCTTGAGGAAGTACCCTTCCTTGGGACACCTTCTCATGCACCCTCATGGCTCCAAGAGTTCCAGCTAAGCTCAGGGCTGATCTCCGGCTGTGTCTTGGAGCTGTTTTGTGGTAGTGATTTGCTGTCTGGGCTTCACATATGGGCTCTGGATTTAGGCTGTAGGTAACCTTGTCTCCAGGACAGACTTCAGATATGTGTAGAACCATCTCCTGCTGTTCCCAAATGGACTTTCTGGATGTCTGACTCATTGTCTTGCTCTTTGGGTGCAGTGAAACCTGTCACCATCCCCACTGTGGTGCTGTTGAGGTGCTGTGGGTCTGTGCCCTGGTTGGTGAGGACACAACCCTGCCTGTCACCCTCTGCTCCTGGCCCCTTTCCTTGTGGAACTGCCTCACGCTTGCTGCTCCCTGACACCAGCAGCCAAAGGGAACTCTAATAAATCAAAGCGAAGCTTAGACACAAGGCAAAGAGAAAAACAACCGCTCCCCCCACCAAAAAAAAACAAAATGGGAACCAATACACAACAAGCCCAACATCCACAGCTTACAAAAACTTAACAATTTTCTTCCTGTTTTGTGGCAACTTTGTCTTGCTGTGAGAGTCTTCTGTCTAGGTCTTCTCACTTATTTCAGTAAACCAAATTTTTAACCCAAGACCAAAGTACTGAGCAGAATGTGCCAGTACTAGGTTACCTAAGTAGAGCAGAGCTTAAAGTACAGCTATGTGCAGCTCATGGACCAAAAAGGATAATGTACTTCTAAAGGATTAGTCTGCCTCCTGTACAAACTCAGTCATCTTTAGAACAGAGTTCAGAGGTGATTTAATGAGCTACGAAGAGACTACTGTTCTCTTTTTGGATTCCTTCCTCACAGTGTGAAATTCATAACTTTAACAAAATACATCAATGAATCACTGTTTTGTTTTAAAAGGCCTAGCAAATTTTAAGACACAACTTTGGTCCATATCTTAGAGTCACTTTTCTTATCATTTGCAACATAAGTTTCTGGCACTGAGTTTCTATATTATGCTGTGTATCTATCATGCAATACACACATGAAAATATTTGTCCTGTAATTGGATGACTAATGAGTGTAGCAGTACCTAGGCAATTTTCTAACATTTTGTTAAATTCCTTTCAGTCAGCTGCTCAGCTTTATTTGAAATTTGTAAAACTGGTCATTGAGAAGTTTTCTTTCTCAACATTACATTTTTTAAAAGTTGTGTTGGCTCAAATCTGAATATAGGAAAATAATAGACTAAAGAAGATAGACTTGAAGTCCTTGCTAAGAGCACACACACCTTCATTGAGCACCAGGGCTTCTCTGCAGCCCCCTGCAATGTGTTTGGGCTTGACTTGTGTTCAGCTCAGGGCTGGATGCAGCCACAGTTTGTCTGAGGGGGACTGCTCAAGGGTTCAGTGGCTTTCCCTCTCTGCTGAGATAAAGCCACCTGATTCAAAGACTACTCTTCCAAATATTTAAACTAAATGTAAGGACAGCAGAGATGCATCATTTTCTAAAAGCCATTTCCAGACCACCACATCCAGTGGGAGCAGGAGCTAAAAGCCTGTCTGGTTTCTTAGCACTCCACACAAACTTAGTCACCTTTATCCCCTTCTCATCACAAGAGTGGCTTTTCACAAGAGTGAATCTTTTCATTCATAAAATTCAGTTTAATTTGTCTTGTTGAGGGGCCATGGGGTGGATTTGGAGGCATCGCTTCATCCTGCCTTGAGAGTTTATGGACTGCCTGTATTCTGAAGCACAGATTTTATAAAATGCACATTAATGTACACACCTAGTGAATAGAGTCTGACAATCATATTGAGCAAGTAAGTAACACCTGTGGCTGGTGGTTATCTGACATGTCTGTAATGAAATGCTGAAGTGTTTCATTTGACAGGACAATTACTCTATGTAACTCCAAAATATTTTTTTTTTTCCGGTAAATGCTCCCAGTAAAATACAAAAGCAAAATAGTAATACCCTTTCTCCTTATTTGTGCCAAGTCCTGAATTTTGTCCCATGCTTTTAACACAGATGAGAAAGAAAAGCAGGTGTAACCTGAGCTATGCACTTGCTAGTGCAGGTGTCACATAGAGTGTGCCAGCTGTGGCTGTTTAGAAAGCTGGATGAACTGCCTGGAAAAGTGTTAAATTCACCTGGCCTATGTCCTCTTTTCCTGCTCCCTGCCAGACACAGTAAATGGAACACTTGACAGTGGCTGGGGGATGGAAGCATCATGCAAAGCTAGGGAAAAAAAGCCAGAAAAAAATATAGAAGGAATAAGGAACATCAGAAATGATAAAATATTTTTATTTTCTTATTGGTATATTAATTCCATGAAAAATTACTTGTAACTCCTTTGTTGTTATAGAACTTACTATCTCGATAAGAAGGGTGTAATAACAGAATCAACGCCTTGGTGCAACAGCTAGCTTTATTTTTAAGAAGAAAAGAAAGAAAAAAGGCTGCGTATGCATTTAGTCTAATGACAGAAAAGGCTCTTGAAATCTCAGACTATTGTGTTCAAAAAATACATTCTATTTTTAAAATGTCTTTTATGCTAGAAATTAGTTTTCTGCTATCCTCAAGCTAGAAACTTTTAAAAATGTTCAGTTCAGTTGATCTTAAATTCTTCATGAGGAATAAATGTTAATATTCAAATACTAACCTTGACTATTTTATGGCTTAATTACAGGTTCCATTAATTCACCTTGCAGGATCAAGGGTATAGGAATTTATCTTGATCAGAAAGCGAATTTCTCAGAAGCAAGTAATGGATGTAATCAATTCAACCTAGAGCTGGCAAGTAAAATACAAGTTGAAGAGGCTTTGAAACATGGCTTTGAAACATGCAAGTATGTGCCATCATCACCTTTAGTGAACACCTTCACACACAGCTGAGGCTGGTGACAAACCCCATACTAAAAGCACTGATCCTTTTTATTGTAGCTATGGATGGGTGAAAGATGGATTTGCTGTTATTCCTCGGATAACATCCAACCAGAAATGTGGTCAGGGAAAAACTGGAATAGCACAATGGAATGCTGGCAAGGATAAAAAATTTCATATCTACTGCTTCAATTCCTCAGGTATGTAAGCATGACAACTGCATTTTCTGTGTGTTTTGGACTATATTAGATTTTTTAAATCTGCATGAAAAATTCACAAAAGTGAGTTGTTTCCTATAATTTGTTGACACTTTTCCCCAGTTTTAAACATTATGAAGATGTTCTTAGCTCAGAAACTTCCAAGAAATGGAAAAGGCAAATTCAGTTAATCCCAATTAATATTGTGGTGCTACCATTAAAGCTCTTGAGGAAGAGTTGTTTTTGCCATTACTTAATGTTGGCACAATGCTTTTAATATGTTTTGATTATTTGGGCATGATAATTTAAAAGAGAGTGATTGAATCTTTAACCAGGGTGTCTGTGTGTCTACTCTTGCAAAAAGGCTAAGAGTGAGGTAATTCAGGAAAATTGGAATTTTTTTTTATAAAGGGAGGTCTATCCATTAAGTCAAATTAAACTATAAGCCAGAACTTCCAAGAGACCATAAAATTAATTAGATTCCTAATCAGTAAAATCCAACAGCTCTTTTAAATTTGCACTGCCCTAAGTGTGAAAAGACCTGACCTTCCCCTGACTGGCTATTTACAGACTGAAGTCCAACAGTAGAACTTGATATAAGTTAGATCTCAGCACAATGTATCAATATTGTTTCTTAATGGCTTCTACTAAAAATAAGTAACTAGAGATGTTGTGCTTCTATGTGTGTCCCATCTCTATGGTTATTACATGACAAATACCCCAATAATTAGACCAAATAAAGGATCATTTCATTATTTATAATCAGTTCTAGACTTGGCCAATGAGTTTTAGATAACAAGAACAAGAGGCTATGTTAAAAATCCTGAAAGTTTTCAGCAACACTGTGTGAACAAGGGTTGGAAAGCAGGAGAAATATGGAGATGCAAAGATGTAAAGACCTGATACTCTGCCTGGTGACTGTGAACATTGGAGGCTCCAAAGAGACTGAGGATAAAGGTATAGAGAGAAGGCCTGTGCCACATGGTGATTCACTCCCTGAAATGTGTTATTCTGCATCAAAAGTGTTGGGTCGATTGGGTAATACTACAGAGGCAGCAAGTAACTCCAAGTTATTTGCTTTGTTTTGCTTGAATTAAAAGAAAATAAATACATATATGCTGTTAGAGTGTGTGAAGAAAGTTAAGCTTGCTCAATGGTTAGGAAACCATTTAATGTATATTTCATATTGAGATGATTCTGCAGTTCTTTATCTTTCTTTCCAAACTGTTGCCTGTTCTAGGCATTTTTTTCCATTTCATTCCAAAATATTTGTCAGAAGCTCATTTTGTCAACTTTCTTGTGCCAAAAAACTTGCCAAAAGCTCTTGAAAAACCATAGTGGAAAAAGTGTCAAGCCCCTGCCCTTTGGCAGTTCATTCTGTAAAGGTGACTGCGTCATCAGCCTCCCCACGGGGATTCACTTGGGAAACAGCACATACATCTTTTCCTTGTTATTTATGTTAACCTGGTTGTTACTTTAGTGAAATTTTTATAGTTTTACATAATACAGAATTTCACTAGCAAAGTAGAATTTTCACAGGAGCCTGATTCAGTGCTCAGCTTTTTCAATTCCATATAAAAACTTCACTTGCACATACATTTTTATATAGACAACACCTACTTCTATTAAATTACTTAATTTCTGGAAATTACTTATTTTTCTTCAAACCTGAAGTTTTTACTTTCCATCCTCTCCTCCCCACTTACAATCAAATATTTTTATTAACTCATGCTGGTGCCTGATTTATTTGAAACTTTTATGGGCTACATTATTTTACAGAAAATCAAATTAATTTTTCAAGTATCAACAGTACATGAATATATTTTGAACATATAATATAATTGAAATAATTTTGAATATTAGATGTCATGCTCTGTGGGAGGTTATACTGTTGGGTTTTATGTGCAGTATTACTCTAAGTTTCCATGAGGGATATAGTCATTGGTATGGAATAATAAAATGAGTACCATGGTTGCTCAAAGGAGTGTGTAACTATGTGAGTAATGATAAAAGCTGTATAATCTAGGTTGTAATCACATATTTGAAATAGAATATATTTGCCAGGTTTGGGTAAAAGTTTTGAGAACAAAAAAATAAAATTTTCCAGAAGGGAAAGACTGAGGAACAATTTCAATAAATGTGTGTGCAGTAAGTACAAAACTGGCATCCAACATAACTTTTATGTATTTATTTTCCCTGCTGCAGATGTCCAGATTAATTCCTGTCAACCAGACCCAACTACAACCACACTTGCTTTATCAACTGCATCAAGGGACTTAACTTCATATTCAGTCTCTGATTTGACTGAGAACATGACAGCAGTGTCTGCTGTGACTGTGACTGAGTCAGAACAGTTCCTGAGAAAGAGATTTCGTGTGGTGTGCGTGACTGAAACGCTCTCACCAACAGAGGGGCCCACCACCACACCAGTGCCAGAGGAGCACGCGCCCACTGACTCTCCCAAGCACACTCCCCACCTGGCCTTTAAGAATGATGCTGTTGTTTTTGGAGGTAAAGGCCTTATGTGGTAGTTATTTAATGAATAGAGCTATTTATGTAGAATAGCTCTATTAAAGAAGTCTATGTAGAAGTCAGTAGTCAAACTGTTCATTGCTATTTTGTTTGCTGCTCCACCATCCATATTGATATAGCTGAACCTGGAGGCAGAATAGGAGTGTTTTGGTTTTGCAGAACAAGGCTTGTGGAGCAGAGGATTTTAAAATAGTTTTTAAGAAGAACTAAGATCTGCTTTTATACTTTATCATAAATTTTAATGTGAAATTGTGTAAGTTCTTTCTGGTTAATGTGATTTGGGTCAAAAAAAATTCTGAAAAAATCTTGGCAAACATTCTCAGTGCAATGGTAAACTCACTAGGCTCTTCAAACATTCTTGGCTTCTTTTGGTTTTAAGGAGAATTGTTCTTGAGATATGAGGTGTGAATAAACAATCAATAAGCAATCCTAATGCACAGCAGTGGAGAAACAGACCAAATATGAGGCAAGGCATGCCAACTGTAAGGGTAGTTAATAACAAGAATGTGCTCTCCAAGCAGGTTGTAAAAACCCTTCAATGAGCAGATTAGAGAAATATCTGTCAGGGATTGCCTAAATACCAGTTTTAGGCTATCCTGAAAGAATTGAGCAGGAGTCACTCACCTTTGGATCTTTCTAATATTCTACTCTTCATGTGTATGTAGGCTTATAATAGGCTGGTTTTAGAAGAATCCATATTTTTGCTCTTAAGCCTTCAGAACATCAGCTTTAAATACATAAATAAAAACTCTGTGCTTGTGTCACTTTTATCTCCAGGTATCCCCACTGCACTTCTTGTACTGGCAATCGTCTTCTTCATTATTTCTGTTGTTCTAGCAGTCTGTTATATCAAAAAGTAAGTTGTTTTTTGTTTGTCTTTTTTTTATCTCTCTTGCAGTGAATTAACTCCTAGAAGTGCAATCACTGAATATTTAAAATATATACTGAAGAACGGAGAAGTAGTGATGATGACATAATAGTGTTGCACAAATTTAAAAAATCTTAAACCCTGTTTTTATGCAGATAAGTTTGTTGTTGCTGTTGCCACTCCCTGCTTTAGAACAGGAGCACAAAATAATATTGCCTACTTTTAATTGATCTATCATATCTAGTGTGAAACATTTCCAATTGTGTCAAAATAGCAACACTGAAATGTGCATCTGTTCATACATAAACCAATTTTATCCTTTTTTTAATGTCACACTCAAAGTGAAAGTTTTTATTATTGCATTATGATTTTGCCCAGAAAAAAAATAATTGTTGAACTCATTTGTCATGCTCAGACCTTCAATACAGTGCATCATTAAATGCTACTAAAAAGTGTGCAGTTTTCCCACCCCAGCCCAGACAGCTGTATCTTTGTGTACCACAAATCCTGAATATACATTGTCTGTTTAAAAAAATATATATTTCTTTAGAAAGCACACTGTTGGAAAAAGCACAATGATGTAGCATGCCACTATCCTCTGAGAGACTTCTGCTTGAGTATGGTGATTTAATTCTAGCTGTTTGAGTGATACTACCAAACTATGTCAGTATTTCTGCTTTACTATCTTTTTTTTTCTTTTTAAAGGTACAAGAAAACCTTACCATTTTTAAACAAGAATCAGCAAAAAGAAACAGTTGTAACTACTGCTCTCAAAGAGACAAAATCAAATGACCAAACACCTGAGAAGGAAACACAGAATAATGGAAATAAGGTAGAAGAGTGTAAAACTAAGCCTGAGGCCACAGTAAAATGTCTAGAAGCAGAAGTTTAAAGGAAAGAATGTACAGTTCTTGATGGAAGTATAAAATAAAGCACACAGAGCTTAGCAGTGGTTTTAAACATAAGTGATTGTAAATACTTATATTTTCTCCACCTTTAACATATGAAACCTTGGGTTTTTAATAATTACTTCTTTGGCAACAAATATTCTTGCAGAAGAACATGGTATCCTATTTACTTGAAATAAATTCTTCAAATCCATATTACAGCTCATTTTTCATCTTTAATAAAGAAGCAATTAGGAATATGCTATTAACAACATGCACTACATTAACTATTTGCATGGAATTTAGATCACTATATAATGAAAAGATTTTTATATCTGGCTGGAGGATGTCTGCTAGCCTAATGCCTAAAATAAAAACTGGCACTGTAGTTTTTCCTCATGTAGATTAGCTTATTTCCATTCAGTAGTTGCATGCTGCTTTAAAAAAATGTCTGTTTACAAGCAGAAGAAACAGTTCTGTTTACAAGGCAGTAAAAACTCAAAGGATTAACCCACTGTCATTCCATTGCCCAAAGAAGGGTACAAAGATGCTGATGTGTGTGTGTGTATGTATACACAGCAATGAATAACTTACTTAGATACCTTCATTGTATCATAATTTACTGTTTTATTTATTGAAACCATTAGCATTCTTCCACATGAGATATTTGACAGAGGGGGACAAAAAAATCCTTGAACAAGACTTATGCTGGAGATCTTTTGTGTGTATTTAAGTGTGGCTTTCATAATAAAGGTCTCAGGTGATATGGGATGTCTACGGTGCTCCCTAAAAAATAAACTATGGTGGATATGTTTGTCTGGACAATTTATTCTCATGAAAACTGTCTCATGGTAAAAGGAATTCATATAACCATAACGTTACAGAAGTAATTAGTTGTTACAACAACACTAGGAGTTTATCAAATATTTTCCTGAATAAAGAATTTAGACAATTCATCTTTATGTTTGAAGGAGGTTGTTATGCCAAAGGAAGTATTTTTCCTCCATCAGACAGCTTAAAAAAACATAGTCTTAGATAATAATAATTTTTAAAATAGCAAAATAGCAATACAACAGGTCACCTATATTGTGTTTTCAACAGTGTGAGATACTGGGTGATGAACTTGGATATTTTTCATTCACATAAATTTTAAAACGTCCAGTGTTTATACATTCGACTAGTAATGAATTATAGTGTATTTCTAGCATTATTCTTAAGAGATTTCCTGGGTTGTTTTTTGTTTTCTCTTTTTGCCTTTTTTTTTTTTGATAGTTCAGAACTATTTTGTGGCTCCAAGTGATTCAGTGCAGCTCTAAAAACTGCTCATTTCAGATGTCCATCAGCTGAATTTTAGCAGAAAAATGTGCACCAGAGGACAGCACTAGACACAGCTTTCCCAGCCAGTTAAGTAACTCCTCTCCTTGCAAAGCATCACAGTAACACCTTGTGTCCTGAAGGCAAGTGCTCTGTGAGGAGTAGACAGCACAAGTAAGGCCATCAGGAAGAGCCACAGCCACCAGTCATGAGGGTGCCAGAGTAGCAAACGGGCCTAAGGACACAGGCAAGTGTAGTGGACTCAAAGGTAGTTTGGGAAATTTTTTAAATCTCCCTTCTGCCTCTCTTTTCCATGTTTTAAAGATGAGAAATTACCTGTTTCTCTATTCTTTTCCCTACAGCCAAGAGATAATTATGATGTTGCTTCTGTTTTAGAGCTAAATAAGGGTGCTTTTTTCCCCTGAAGTGTTTACTTGCTAAAAAAAAACTTACCCTGTTTTAATAAGATATTGTCTTAATCTCTAAGTGTCTTATTTTATCATGTACCTTAAAAACTCAGCATTCATCCTGATCTTCCCACTGCTACCTGACCATGCACATGGTTTGATCTGCCCCTCCATTTCACTTTATGCCAACACCACAGGGGGTAAAGGAGTTATCCTGCTCTGTATGGAATAAAGGCAGATGTAAGTATTAACCAACAAGTACTCTATTTGATATTGTCTCTATGTAGTTAGCACAACTCAGTCACATTGGAATTGGAAAGTACAAAATATTCCTGCTCATTGTTTAATGGAATTGCAAGGGATGCACTACTACAAGGCAAACAGGAAACATTTAAGTATCTAGACCAAGAGTGTCAAACACCAAACCCTTAAGTAAAGGTAGCAGAAACTTAAGAGAAATTCTTCATTAGGCTTCTGATTTTTCTCAAGTGTTGTGCTTTTTTTTTTTTTAACAAGACCTTCTCAACAGTTCTGAAGTGCCTTGATGTGCCAGAACTGCTCAAGTACCTTGGACAAATAACTCATCCCACCGAGCAGGAGAGCACAGTCAGTACTTGCCACTTGATGGTAACACCCCTCAGATTCCCACACTGAGGCTACAGATGTTTGCTGACCTTAGGCAAAAGGGGTGCTTGGCCTGCAGGAAATATGGCAAAGGTTTCCAGTCCAGCCCAATCCCTGTCTGGAATATGGGAATGCCTTTGGCGTGGGAAGTACGTGTATCCATGTGTGAACAGAAGCAGGCAGGAAGGGGAAGTACTACTCCTTTTCTCCTCTTAAAATTAAGAAAAAAAAAAAAGTGGAATTAAATATTGCAGCATCAGGATGTGGATGACCCAGAGGATGTTCTGGGATGTGTGTTTCTCAATGACTTGCTGTCGTTTATGGGTGTTGGGGTTTTTTTGTGAAAAGGTCAGTGAGCATTGACCTTTGCCACTCACATCCACCGCCCACATCCTCCCTGCAGACCAGGATTTGCACCAGCAGCTGTGGCCTGGGATGATCCCACTGAGCCAGGCACTCAGCTCCATTAAGTATCATTTAAATCACTATTTAATAGAGCTCATAGTTAAGAGTGAAGGCACTGTGAATCCAGGACAGTGCAGCACCAAGTGTGTATCTGCTGAGGGTGCAGCAAGGTGAAAAGTGATCCCAGAGCACTCAGCTCCATTAACTATCATTTAACTATAGCTCTATTTAATAGAGCTCATAGTTAAGAGTGAAGGCACTGTGAATCCAGGACAGTGCAGCACCAAGTGTGTATCTGCTGAGGGTGCAGCAAGGTGAAAAGTGATCCCAGTTTTGTCAGGGTCAAGGTGAAAAGTGTCCCGTTTATTCCAGAGTGTTTCTTACACAAACCAGCTCTATACAGCACTTCTGCTGTGTGGCAGAATGGGTAATGGTGTGGCCAGCAGGGCAGGGATTGTCCCCCTTTACTGGGCACTGGTAAGGCCACACCTCGAGTGCTGTGCCCAGTTCTGGGCCCCTTTGGAAGGACATTGAAGGGCTGGAGTGAGCCCAGAGAAGGGCACCAGAGGTGGAAAAGGGTCGGGAGCAAAATTATGAAAAGGGAGCTGGGGGTGTTTAGCCTGGGGAAAAGGAGGCTCAGGGATGACCTTATCACTCCCTACAACTGCCTGAAAGGAGGCTGTAACCAGGAGCGGGTTGGTCTCTTGTCCCAGGAAAGCAGCGACAGGATGAGAGGACAGAGGCTGTGCCAGGGGAGGTTCAGGTTCGACAGTAGCAGGAATTTCTTCGCATGGAGGTTAATCAGACAACCAAATGGGCTGCCCAGGGCGGTGCTGGAGTCACTGTCCCTGGAGGTGTTTAAGGAACGACGGGACGTGGCACTCAGGGTCTAAGAGACGGGGTGGTGCTCGGTCACAGGTTGGACTCGATGACTCTCAGAGGTCTTTTCCAACCTAACCGATCTTGCGCTCCTATCGATGTTCTGGCGGGGCCCGCTCCGCTCAGCGACAACGCCACCGCGGGCTGCCCTGGGTGCAGGGGCCGGGATCGGGAAGGCGGCCGAGGGCCGTGAGCGGCGCCGGGGCCGCTGTGAGGGCGGCGCTGAGGGCAGAGCCGCCCGGGCCCCGCTGCGGCCCCATTGTTTAATGGAATTGCAAGGGATGCACTACTACAAGGCAAACAGGAAACATTTAAGTATCTATACCAAGAGTGTCAAACACCAAACCCTTAAGTAAAGGTAGCAGAAACTTAAGAGAAATTCTTCATTAGGCTTCTGATTTTTCTCAAGTGTTGTGCTTTTTTTTTTTAACAAGACCTTCTCAACAGTTCTGAAGCGCCTTGATGTGCCAGAGCTGCTCAAGTACCTTGGACAAATAACTCATCCCACCGAGCAGGAGAGCACAGTCAGTACTTGCCACTTGATGGTAACACCCCTCAGATTCCCACACTGAGGCTACAGATGTTTGCTGACCTTAGGCAAAAGGGGTGCTTGGCCTGCAGGAAATACGGCAAAGGTTTCCAGTCCAGCCCAATCCCTGTCTGGAATATGGGAATGCCTTTGGCGTGGGAAGTACGTGTATCCATGTGTGAACAGAAGCAGGCAGGAAGGGGAAGTACTACTCCTTTTCTCCTCTTAAAATTAAGAAAAAAAAAAAAGTGGAATTAAATATTGCAGCATCAGGATGTGGATGACCCAGAGGATGTTCTGGGATGTGTGTTTCTCAATGACTTGCTGTCGTTTATGGGTGTTGGGGTTTTTTTGTGAAAAGGTCAGTGAGCATTGACCTTTGCCACTCACATCCACCGCCCACATCCTCCCTGCAGACCAGGATTTTCACCAGCAGCTGTGGCCTGGGATGATCCCACTGAGCCAGGCACTCAGCTCCATTAAGTATCATTTAAATCACTATTTAATAGAGCTCATAGTTAAGAGTGAAGGCACTGTGAATCCAGGACAGTGCAGCACCAAGTGTGTATCTGCTGAGGGTGCAGCAAGGTGAAAAGTGATCCCAGTTTTGTCAGGGTCAAGGTGAAAAGTGTCCCGTTTATTCCAGAGTGTTTCTTACACAAACCAGCTCTATACAGCACTTCTGCTGTGTGGCAGAATGGGTAATGGTGTGGCCAGCAGGGCAGGGATTGTCCCCCTTTACTGGGCACTGGTAAGGCCACACCTCGAGTGCTGTGCCCAGTTCTGGGCCCCTTTGGAAGGACATTGAAGGGCTGGAGTGAGCCCAGAGAAGGGCACCAGAGCTGGAGAAGGGTCGGGAGCAAAATTATGAAAAGGGAGCTGGGGGTGTTTAGCCTGGGGAAAAGGAGGCTCAGGGATGACCTTATCACTCCCTACAACTGCCTGAAAGGAGGCTGTAACCACGAGCGGGTCGGCCTCTTGTCCCAGGAAAGCAGCGACAGGATGAGAGGACAGAGGCTGCGCCAGGGGAGGTTCAGGTTCGACAGTAGCAGGAATTTCTTCGCATGGAGGTTAATCAGACAACCAAATGGGCTGCCCAGGGCGGTGCTGGAGTCACTGTCCCTGGAGGTGTTTAAGGAACGACGGGACGTGGCACTCAGGGTCTAAGAGACGGGGTGGTGCTCGGTCACAGGTTGGACTCGATGACTCTCAGAGGTCTTTTCCAACCTAACCTAACCTATCGATGTTCTGGCGGGGCCCGCTCCGCTCAGCGACAACGCCACCGCGGGCTGCCCTGGGTGCAGGGGCCGGGATCGGGAAGGCGGCCGAGGGCCGTGAGCGGCGCCGGGGCCGCTGTGAGGGCGGCGCTGAGGGCAGAGCCGCCCGGGCCCCGCTGCGGCCCGGCGCTGAGGGCCGGCACCGGGGGAGGGCGGGCGGGGCGCGCCTGGGCTGTGAGGGGCTGTGCCCGGGGCCGTCGGGGCGCCTCGTGGGTCTGCGGTGACGCGGGGTGTGTGGGGTATTAAAGGGTGAACAATAGGGAGCATTTCGTAGAGCCGTGGTGGAAGTGACCCACGGGGATCAAAGTCCAGCTCCTGGCCCTGCACGGGACACCCCAGGAGTCACCCCGTGTGCCTGAGAGTGTTGTCCAAGCGCCGCTTGAACTGTCTCAGCCTCAGTGCTGTGACCGCTTCCCTGAGGAGCCTGTTCGGTGCCCGACCACCCTCGGGGTGAAACTTTTCCCGATAGCAGTCCTGCAGACATCCTCGCAGGTGTTTCTCCCCGAACTTTTCAGTGCTGGGGTTTAGGCGCTGAGCTCGGCAGCCCCGCAGCAGGCACGGTGCTCCCTGAGGAGCTCGGGGGAGCAGCAGCCCCGGAGATCCGGGAGGAGGAGGTGTCTGCACGGTGACAGGTTGTGCTGGTGACATGTGTGGCCTGGGCGTGTGCTCACCAAACACTCCCCGGAGAGCGGGGCAGGAGGCGACTGGAGCCTTATCGGAACGGGAAGAGTGGCTGGAGGGGGAGCATGTCTGCGTGGGAGCAGAAGTTGGTCACAATTCCAGCCATAAAC